CCCTTTTAGCGTGACTATCAGACAACAAAGCACATACGGTTTAGTCCTATTCCCCGAAAACGACTGGGAAAACTTATCGCTGCCATTGGCAAATTGTCGCCATCATTTTCTGAGGAGATACAAAACTGTAACTGCGGGTAACTTGAGTAGCCATTTCCACTCATTCGCATTCGCATTCGCATTGCCAGTGACATCCTCTTCCCTGCTCCCGTCTGGGTCCCCATTCTGACCCCCTTTTTAGCCCCTTTCAGCCACTTCAACTGCGGTTTCATTAGCCGCGGTCTCTGTCAACTGTTGTTGTTCCTCCTCCTCTTGCTGCCACTGGTTGGCTTCCTCTAATTTCGTTAAGTTTCGTTGCCACAACAGGAAACCGAGTGTGTGCCACCATTTTTTTGCTATCCGCAGTTAATGCCTCCCCAGCCGGAGAGCCAAGTTTTTGCGAGCCCATGCACTCAGCACAAAAATTGGGTTTATTGTGCGGCCAAATAATAGGATAGCCATTGTGACAAAGATTTGCAATACATAAAATAACTTGTGCCAGCATGCTAGCAAAATCGCCTGCGCATTTCTTAAAGTTTGAATGAATAGGTATTTCTAGGCCGAGAGGTGATTACTAAACTTTCTTTAATATTTTTCCTCAAGTGTGAATAGAGCCTTCTACCCCTCTCTGTCTACTTCTTCATCTGCGTCTCGCTCTGCCGCCAAATGCAATTAACAAAACACGCTCCTAGCATAAAGTCATTAGTTATTCCATTTCATGAATATCCCTCTCTCGATTCGAACGCTTCGTTGGATATGTTTATGTGTGTGTAGGCCAGCTTGGAGCATATGGAGTTGTAGTGGGTATGTGTCTGTGTGGAAAGGGGGAGATGGGGAGGGGGTGGGTCTTAAAGTATGACCATTGACCAAAAACCAAGGTCCACAACAAATGTACATAACATTATTATTTCGGTGGATTTTTGCAAAACGGCCGCCAGCATCGATGCTGGGCATGCTTAAACTACAGCACCACTCAGTGGAGCGCCCCACCCACTGCCCAACCACCCACTGGAACAGGCGGCGGAACCCCTGCAAACATTTGGAGTCCTGGCTAAATTGCCATTCAGTGTTGTACGCCGTCATTGGTGTTCGTTGTCCGGCGTCACGTTGTTTGCTTTCACCTCAAGCCAAGTTTGCGAATGTTTCCCGTTTTCCGTTTCCACAATCGGCAACCCCAAGCCATACCCGATACCATCCAATCCACCACCCCCTATCCATACACCCTTCAGCCGGAAAGCGTGTACGCCGGATAAACTTTTCGGCATGAGTTCTTATAGGCAAAAATGGTTTTTCAATACTGAAAGATTTATGAGTCTATGAATCTTGTACACATCCACAAGCATGTGAGTGAGTTTGTCGGGGTGTGCACAGAGAAAAAAATAAAAGAGCTGTGCGTTTTAAATTTGACGTAAAAAAAGGAATAAGAAATAGTTCTAAAAAATATGATTTGTATTTTTTTAATTCTCTCAACATATGTGATGAATGTCCCAAAAACAAATTTGAATTTCAGTGAGATGTCTAATAAAAACTGCCCACTTGGTTATAGTTTTTTTCTCTGTAAGGCCATAAGAAACTGAGATGGGGGTCGAGCCCATTTTCAACACCCCACCCTAACCACTTTGCTTAATCCTAGGAGAGGGATCCCGGCCAGAGCCGAAACAGAACCACTGGAGCAGCAGAAGAGTCAGAAGAGGCCAAAAGCAAAGACCACAAATTAGTCGGCATATAACACGAACCGGTAAATGGCTAAGAAGTGAACTGAAGAAGGGGTGAAGGAAAAAGCCAGAAGAACAACAAATAGAAATCAAGTGAAATTCCTTGGCCATCCTGGCTGGCAAAGTTTTCTATTTCATTTTTTGGATTTTGCACATCTATTTTTTTGGATTCCCGGGCAAACTTGGGGCAGCTGCCACATGGAACATGAATCAACACAGAAAGTCCTCAAAAGTTCTCGGGGATGATTTAATTAGAATTCTCGAAGATGTCACCCAGGGCTATGCCCCCAGTATGGTCTGAGTTTTGCTTGGTCTAAGCCAGCGTTGGGCATCGTTTAATTATGAAATTTTCAAGGTGGCAAGTTGGTAAGTTGGCAAGGTGACAGGGAAAGGCAAAAAGGGGCTTCCCCACCTCGAGGTATTTTGCGGTAGATTAGCCGGGCGTTCAATGTGTTGATGCGGCGAAGGCGTGGAATCCTGACTGGTGTCGGGTTTCGGGTGTCGGATGCTGGCAACGATGTGATAAGTTAATTGAAATTAAATTTTAATTTCATGGGATAAAGTTGCCTTCGATGAGATTGCTTTTTGCGGGGAAAGAGGAGCCTTCTCCACGAAATCAATATGGAAATGAAAACTTGGAAGGGGGCTTTCGGTTAAACTCCAATCAAAAAGAAATCCCCCGGGTCTATTAGCAGAATCATTTCATTTCCCTTTTAATGGCCAACTCACATGTCAAGCGGCCTCTAAGAAAACTCATTTATACATTATGTATACGCCATGTTGAACACACGAGATTCAATCTACGTCGCAGTCGAGTCCTTGAGGTCTGCTCGAGGATGTTAATTGGAGTCTTTCCTGCCACCCAGAAACACCTTGGGTTTTCCCAGGAAACCAAACACTCGCACAATCGGAAATACGCCTCGGGGGCCCCAGAGTTCTACATCAGTTTTAATTATACAAATGCAAATGCAAACGAATCCGTTCGAATTTCCAGTTAAGTAAACAAGAGGAGCTTACGATTTTCACCAGAAATCGATTCCCCAAATCATAACTACAAGTGAGCATAATCAGCTCAGCCGGCGGGCAATTATTTTAAAAACAATTGGCCATCCACTCGACTTAAATCCATCGGTTGTTGGTTAAGTGGCCAACGGCACCAGTAGTCCTAGCCATTAACTATGCAAATAATGTGCGGGATATAGACAAAATCGCCACAAGATTAATGTTTATTGATTTGCCGGGCAGTGATAATTTGTTACCACATCAAATTGAACGCCACTGAGTGAATTCGATTTTTCTGGCTTACTTTTCTATTTCTGAGCAAAGCCATTCTAAGAATTTGATAAGCCCCTTTTGGAATTTTCTGATGCCCCCTCCCAAAAAAAGTTTTTGTGGGTATTGGCATTATTAAGTACTCGCACCACTTCCCTCGCTTTTCCGATTTCTTTGTGGTTTTTGATGGGAAATGGAAAATGGGAAAGGAAAATGGGAACGCGTCGGTCATCCATTGAGCCGAAGGTGTCACATTGCCGGGATTTGCTTATCAGACATCAAAGGACACCTTGCGGTGCCATCTTTCCCAGATCGTTGCCATTGCAACCCGCAGTCAAAAATTCTGGAATGCCGGGGGCAAAAGGGAAAACCCCCTTTCAAGTTTCCCCGTCCCTTGGATTTTTGGCTGGAGCCTGGTAACTAACTTTCAGGTTTATATAAATATTTTCGTTGGCTTGTTTGTCTGGTTTCGTCTGTTTAGCATTTTGGAATATTAATTAAAACAAACTTTCGGAGAATGTGAGCATTATTAAAAACAAAGCTTAGGTGCGCTGCTTTCTCTGAAACTTTTTTTTGGATACACGAATAAGTTTCACAAATGGTACAGGAAAAACATTTGAGTTGTGTTTGTTATGGAAAAATTCTTGCCGAATAAACAAGAACATACTCTACTGGCAATGGTAGAAGTTTAATATTTGTAAAATTTAAAGGCAGTTTTCAGTTTAAATTTTATTTTTAGTGATTCTTGGCGTTCTAATTGTTTATTTAATATCATTACTTTTGAGCTACGTAATAAAGCTTATTATTTGCACTATTTGGTGAACAAGTATTTTAAGAATTCCCAAACCCTTAAATAAAAATGAGAAACCTTTTCTTGGACCCAAGTTTCCTGTCACTAATAGACGCGGATGTCGTCAACCGCAATCGAACCAAGCTCAAATGAAAAAAAAATGTATTTAAATATTGATGAATGAAAGGGGAGCAGGCGAACTTCAGGGAAGCCAACAGGAAAGAAAATGTATTAAGAAGGGTCCATAATACGGGTGATTCGTAGAAATCTCTTTGTTTCGGAAAAAGGGAGAATGCCTTAAATGGATGCCCTTGGGTCCTGGGACGGAGCATTACCTGGATTTACTTTTCAAAACTTCAAAGGACACTGGTCCCGCAGGAAGCTGGTCCACTGGTCCAAGTAAACATTATTTCTCTTTATTTCCCCAAAATTAGCTGAAACGAAAACGAAACCGAAACAGCAAGAGAAACTGAAACTAAATGAATATCGAGCGGCAATAGGCAACAAAGCGGAGCAATAAAAGCCCTCGCAAAACGCAAAACAGAGCAGACTCAATCCCAAAAACCCAACCAGACCGAAGTCAACCTACTTTTGGACGCAACAGACTACGACAGAGTCGAGCACATATTCTATTTGTACCATCTAACTGCACATTGCGAAAAATATAGCTCTTCTATGTTGTAGATTATATTATGCTTTAAAACTTATATATTTTATTGAAATACTTTATTTTTCAAATTATTTTTAGTCTGCTGTTTCACATAAAGAGACCCTGGCTGTCATATTCAACGATCTCAAGAGAATTTTAGAAGGAACTCATTAAAAAAAATAAAAACTTTTTAAGTAACAAAAAAAATTACAAGATTACGTTGCGAAATGTTGGAATTGGCAACCCATTAAATCTATAATATCCAATGAGCTCAATAAAATATAATGCAAAAAGATGTGGTGTCCAAGCCACTGCGTTAATATTGACAGCCTAGTTAATAGCATAAACAACATTTCTGTCTGTGTATGTTTCCATTCGGTATGCGCCCAGATGAGAAGCATGGAGTGGGTTTTTTTTTGAGGAGGCGGGGCGGGGTGGACCGTGTGTATGGGGGACAATTGGGCGCCCTGCGGCGGATTATTGAATTTTCCAGCATTCTCCGCTGACACTTGGCGCCTAATGCGCTACCGCTTACCTCCTTTTTTGTTGTTGCTGCTGCTGCTGTTGCTCCTGTCCTTATTGCCGTTGGTTTAGACCTGCGTCCTGCGTCCCGCTCTTCCTCCTCGTCGAGCGGCTGCTGTTTACCAATTCACTGGCGTTGACAAAAATTCCAATAGAATTTGGCATAATTTACATATCACCGAATAGCTTGGGCCAACGGGCCAAATGCATTAAACACAATACGTAAGTGCGTGTGTGTGTACCCGATTTTCCGTATATTTTCCCGTAAATTCTTTATTTCAAACGATTTTCCGTCCTTTTTAGCGAGACCCAATTTCTGTGCCGTTGAGCGAAAAATCAAAAATAACGCGCGTGTCGTACCGCTTGATATATCCAGTGATTTGATGGGAGACCCACGCACTTGCAACACGCGACACACGAGCACCGGGAATTGGGGAACTCAGGGTTTTAAAGTGGGTTTTGGGGTGTACCGAGGGATAAAGCGACAGTGACAGACGACGGGCGACAGCAACTAAGATGAATGTCAATAAAAATGATTTGGCTCTCCACTGCAGTTGGTGTTTTCTTTTTTAACTCCCCGAATTCTTTTTTTTTTTCTTTCGGTTTTTTCTCTCCGTTTTTTCGGTCTGTCCCGAGTTGCTGTGATTTAATTATAAATCGCAAACGAAAGTCCTGAAGACACAAGAGCCGGGAAGAGGTTTTCTCGCCACGCGAAGAATCCGTACTAAAGATACAGATACGGGTTGCGAATTGGCAAGTCAAATTTCGCTACAATTCATCTCACAGCAGGGCTGCTGCGCAAAATCCGGGTATCTGCGCATGCGCCGCTCTCTCTCCGCTTTCTCTCCCGACTTTCTGGACGCTCTCTTTATCTCTCTCTGCTTTCTCCCTTATAAATATGTCTGTGTGCCATGCTCGTTGGAATGCTATAAAAAAGGAAACGTTAGAATGAAATGAAAATGTAGCATAATTTATGACTGCATCGTCTTTTAAATAATTGCACGCACACACACCTACGAACCAACACACTGCCCTGCGTTTTAAATATTTACATCCACTCACCTGACGACCATTACCCCAAAAACACCCACTCCCTAATGGCCATGTAAATATTCCATTTTTTAATTTTATTCGACTTTTTAAACATTCTGCCAAATTGGTTAAGGGTCAATGACATTTCGTCTTTTTAAAAAAATTAACCGACACAAGATTTACGGGGAAATTAAATAAAAAACAAAGAATCAAACTTTGGCAAGCCAAAGTTTATATACCCTTTAATATTGTACTTGGACGATTTTCAGACTAATTTTTCGATCGTTCCTAGCTTCTTTAGGATTATAATATAAATTTGATCAACGTTAAATTTAATATTTTGAATGCAGATTTTTAGAGAATCGAATCACAACTCTTTATAGGTATGCCGCTTTGGAATCGGATAAAGTTTGGTAAAGTTATGGACTCTCGAAGACCAATTTAAAGTCACTCTATTACAAGACATCGGAAACTTGGAAATAACTAACATGAAAATGGGTCAAATATTTGATCAACGTTAAATTAAAAATTTTGAATGCATATTTTTAAAGAATCGAATCACAAGTCTTTAGAGGTATGCCACTTTGGAATCGGATAAATTTTGGTAAAGTTATGGACTCTCGAAGATCAATTTTGAGTCACTCTATTACAAGACATCGGAAACTTGGAAATAACTAACATGAAAATGGGTCAAATATTTGATCAACGTTAAATTGAAAATTTTTAATGCAGATTTTTAAAGAATCGAATCACAAGTCTTTAGAGGTATGCCACTTTGGAATCGAATAAATTTTGGTAAAGTTATGGACTCTCGAAGACCAATTTTGAGTCAATCTATTACAACCATCGGAAACTTGGAAATAACTAACATGAAAATGGGTCAAATATTTGATCAACGATAAATTGAAAATTTTGAATGCAGATTTTTAAAGAATCGAATCACAAGTCTTTAGAGGTATTCCACTTTGGAATCGGATTAATTTTAGTAAAGTTATGGACTCTCGAAGACCAATTTTGAGTCAATCTATAACAAGACATCGGAAACTGGAAAATAACTAGCATGAAAATGGGTCAAATATTTGATCAACGTTAAATTAAAAATTTTGAATGCAGATTTTTAAAGAATCGAATCACAAGTCTTTAGAGGTATGCCACTTTGGAATCGGATAAATTTTGGTAAAGTTATGGACTCTCGAAGACCAATTTTGAGTCAATCTATAACAAGACATCGGAAACTTGGAAATAACTAACATGAAAATGGGTCAAATATTTGATCAACGTTAAATTGAAAATTTTGAATGCAGATTTTTAAAGAATCGAATCACAAGTCTTTAGAGGTATGCCACTTTGGAATCGGATAAATTTTTGTAAAGTTATGGACTCTCGAAGACCAATTTTGAGTCACTCTATTACGAGACATAGGAAACTGGGAAATAACTAACATGAAAATGGGTCAAATATTTGATCAACGTTAAATTGAAAATTTTGAATGCAGATTTTTAAAGAATCGAATCACAAGTCTTTAGAGGTATGCCACTTTGGAATCGGATAAATTTTGGTAAAGTTATGGACTCTCGAAGACCAATTTTGAGTCAATCTATAACAAGACATCGGAAACTGGGAAATAACTAACATGAAAATGGGTCAAATATTTTATCAACGTTAAATTGAAAATTTTGAATGCATATTTTTAAAGAATCGAATCACAAGTCTTTAGAGGTATGCCACTTTGGAATCGGATAAATTTTAGTAAAGTTATGGACTCTCGAAGACCAATTTTGAGTCAATCTATAACAAGACATCGGAAACTGGAAAATAACTAGCATGAAAATGGGTCAAATATTTGATCAACGTTAAATTAAAAATTTTGAATGCAGATTTTTAAAGAATCGAATCACAAGTCTTTAGAGGTATGCCACTTTGGAATCGGATAAATTTTGGTAAAGTTATGGACTCTCGAAGACCAATTTTGAGTCAATCTATAACAAGACATCGGAAACTTGGAAATAACTAACATGAAAATGGGTCAAATATTTGATCAACGTTAAATTGAAAATTTTGAATGCAGATTTTTAAAGAATCGAATCACAAGTCTTTAGAGGTATGCCACTTTGGAATCGGATAAATTTTTGTAAAGTTATGGACTCTCGAAGACCAATTTTGAGTCACTCTATTACGAGACATCGGAAACTGGGAAATAACTAACATGAAAATGGGTCAAATATTTGATCAACGTTAAATTGAAAATTTTGAATGCAGATTTTTAAAGAATCGAATCACAAGTCTTTAGAGGTATGCCACTTTGGAATCGGATAAATTTTGGTAAAGTTATGGACTCTCGAAGACCAATTTTGAGTCAATCTATAACAAGACATCGGAAACTGGGAAATAACTAACATGAAAATGGGTCAAATATTTGATCATCGTTAAATTGAAAATTTTGTATGCATATTTTTAAAGAATCGAATCACAAGTCTTTAGAGGTATGCCACTTTGGAATCGGATAAATTTTGGCAAAGTTATGGACTCTCGAAGATCAATTTTGAGTCACTCTATTACAAGACATCGGAAACTTGGAAATAACTAACATGAAAATGGGTCAAATATTTGATCAACGTTAAATTGAAAATTTTGAATGCAGATTTTTATAGAATCGAATCACAAGTCTTTAGAGGTATGCCACTTTGGAATCAGATAAATTTGTTTGTAAAGTTATGGACTCTCGAAGACCAATTTTGAGTCAATCTATAACAAGACATCGGAAACTGGAAAATAACTAACATGAAAATGGGTCTAATATTTGATCAACGTTAAATTGAAAATTTTGAATGCAGATTTTTAAAGAATCGAATCACAAGTCTTTAGAGGTATGCCACTTTGGAATCGGATAAATTTTGGTAAAGTTATGGACTCTCGAAGACCAATTTTGAGTCAATCTATAACAAGACATCGGAAACTGGAAAATAACTAACATGAAAATGGGTCAAATATTTGATCAACGATAAATTGAAAATTTTGAATGCAGATTTTTAAAGAATCGAATCACAAGTCTTTAGAGGTATTCCACTTTGGAATCGGATAAATTTTGGTAAAGTTATGGACTCTCGAAGACCAATTTTGAGTCACTCTATTACAAGCATCGGAAACTTGGAAATAACTAACATGAAAATGGGTCAAATATTTGATCAACGATAAATTGAAAATTTTGAATTCAGATTTTTAAAGAATCGAATCACAAGTCTTTAGAGGTATTCCACTTTGGAATCGGATAAATTTTGGTAAAGTTATGGACGCTCGAAGACCAATTTTGAGTCACTCTATTACAAGACATCGGAAACTTGGAAATAACTAACATGAAAATGGGTCAAATATTTGATCAACGTTAAATTGAAAATTTTTAATGCAGATTTTTAAAGAATCGAATCACAAGTCTTTAGAGGTATGACACTTTGGAATCGGATACATTTTGGTAAAGTTATGGACTCTCGAAGACCAATTTTGAGTCAATCTATAACAAGACATCGGAAACTGGAAAATAACTAACATGAAAATGGGTCAAATATTTGATCAACGATAAATTGAAAATTTTGAATGCAGATTTTTAAAGAATCGAATCACAAGTCTTTAGAGGTATGACACTTTGGAATCGGATACATTTTGGTAAAGTTATGGACTCTCGAAGACCAATTTTGAGTCAATCTATAACAAGACATCGGAAACTGGAAAATAACTAACATGAAAATGGGTCAAATATTTGATCAACGTTAAATTAAAAATTTTGAATGCAGATTTTTAAAGAATCGAATCACAAGTCTTTAGAGGTATGCCACTTTGGAATCAGATAAATTTTTTTGTAAAGTTATGGACTCTCGAAGACCAATTTTGAGTCAATCTATAACAAGACATCGGAAACTGGGAAATAACTAACATGAAAAAGGGTCAAATATTTGATCAACGTTAAATTGAAAATTTTGAATGCAGATTTTTAAAGAATCGAATCACAAGTCTTTAGAGGTATGCCACTTTGGAATCGGATAAATTTTGGTAAAGTTATGGACTCTCGAAGACCAATTTTGAATGAATGAATAACATGAAAATGGGTCAAATATTTGATCAACGTTAAATTGAAAATTTTGAATGCAGATTTTTAAAGAATCGAATCACAAGTCTTTAGAGGTATGACACTTTGGAATCGGATACATTTTGGTAAAGTTATGGACTCTCGAAGACCAATTTTAAGTCACTCTATTACAAGACATCGGAACTTGGAAATAACTAACATGAAAATAGGTCAAATATTTGATCAACGTTAAATTAAAAATGTTGAATGCAGATTTTTAGAGAATCGAATCACTTTGGAATCGGATAAAGTTTGATAACGGTTTGGACTCTTGACGTCCAATTTTGAGTCACTCTATTACAGCACATCGGAAACTTCGCAAAAGCAAACTTAAGTTTATTTTCCCTTGCAAACTCTTACAAAAATTAAATATTATATATTTATATTTCTATGCTTAAAAACAATGAAGCGAGGTCGATTTTCCGATCAATTTTTCGATCGTTCCAATGGGTCAACATAAAAATAAAAAAATAAAGAATTAATCTTAAAGTGCTCTAGGTAATAAAACCTTAGTATTATAATATCAATAACTAATTAAGTAGAGTAAGAGCCACCTAAGACATTGGGCGGTATTTAAATTCATATCAATAGATTTTTTAAATATATTTTATTTAAGCTTATATCTGTATAATATGAAATTTTAACCCTCATCTTAACTATTGCAAACATGAATAATTAATATTTGGCAAATTTTATTATGAATTTACCTCAACGTGAAGCCACTTGATAAGTAATTGTTCTTAATTTTTGGCCGCTTGTTAAAGCCACTTGATGAGTAATTGTTCATTATTGGCCAGTTCAGATTGGCTCTCTACTATTGCTTTGATGATGAAGGCTGTATTCAAATCAGTTCATGGGCCTCTAGAGAACGCGGCGTTGTTGTCATAAGCATTTGAAAAAATGAATCTGGGTAACTAAGAGACTGGAACATTGTCATGCTTTACTAAAAAATCGAAGTTGGTAAGAGAGAATTTATGTGCCCCAATCAGAGTTCGACGTTGTTTAGATTAGAACCTGAGGAAGTGGGCAGATCGACATCGCTAGGCGGCACAAAGGTGCCCATGGTAAGGACACTTTCCTGCTTAGCGCACAGCTTAAGCATCTCGGATTTGAGTTTGTCTAGGATGGCATAGTTGGGCTGGTTCACAGCCGCTTTGCTTTGCAGCACTGTTATCTCCTGTTCCTCTAGCTTCTTCTCTTTGAAGGTCTTTATCGAATTGTTGCCATAGAGGCGGAGCAAAGAACCCCAGGTCTGGATGTGCGGATGCAGGATCTGCAATAAAGGGTGTTTAAACAGAGATTATAGAGATAATCATTTCCTACCTGGAGGATAGCCTGTGAAGCCAATTGCTTGCCTTCCCTCTTGTTTTTACAAACTACTTTGGCAGTGTGCTTGCCCACGGTCATGGTAAACTCGTTCTTGTTGTTCGCAGTGCGATTGATCTCCTGGTTAATCTGCACATCGCTGCCGTAGTTGCGCTGTAAACAAGTCAGCAGAATGGCGTTGGGAGAAGGTTCCGTAGTCTTATTGCAAAATTCGGTGACTCGTGGATCCTCAATGCGGATGTCATCGAAAACCTAAAAGGAATTGCATTAAAATTTACCTTAAGAAACATTTGAATAAAATATGTGATAAAGGATAATAATCATGATGATGAAAGAAATCAAGCTATAAAGTTAATTATCTCGCTTACAGACAGATCGCTCTGGGCTTTCTTAGCGGTGCCACTCTTTTGGTCCTTGTTGTTGCCCGTTATCTTGTCCTTGACATCGGGAATGAGTATTTCCAGCGTCTCCCGGGCCGCCTCCGACTTGGCCTGCTTTTTGCTGGTACCATAACCCGTTCCGTACTTAAGATTATTCACCGACACGGTGGCCGAGTAAGGCGTTGCTGCATTCTGTAGCTCCTTGAACTCATAGGTAGGCTGCGTTTTCAGAGCATGCTGCACATACTCGTGTAGAATGCAGACGAAGCTCTTGCCGTTGGGGTTCATGATCCACTCCTTCCGACCACGCGAATTGGTTGATCCTTCGCCGGCCGCAGCCAAAATGGGAAATTTAATGAGTTTAGTGCCATCAGGCAGTGTGGGGCGTTGAATATTCTTGATGTGCTTGCGGTTTTTGGTGAACTTGCGGCGGGCATTCCAACTCCTAAAGCGCAGCACACGGATTACCTTGAATTTGAACAGTTTTTGACAGTAGGTGTTTAGTTGTTCCGGTGTTATGGACTCCTTTTGGGTATTTTCGTTAACCGTGACGATTTTGGCAGCTGGCATTATAGCAGTTAAGCTCTCTGGCTGGGATTTGGGGTCACAACTGCCTTCGTTGTTCTCTTTTCCCTCCACATCCATGGGCTCTGCCAGTGAAGCTGTAGCACCTGTTATGGGACACACAGTTGCTGGAGGAGTCCCATCTGGTTTCTGCAGCTCCACCTCCGACTCCTCGTCCAAGGCCCGCCTGTAGTTGAGGCAGGGAATTGCTCCCAAGGGCACGGCATGCTTGCGGGCACTTCCCGTTCCCAGGAAATAAGGTCGGGAGGCACAACACACGCGGGTTTTACGGTGCAGGAAGAGCGGCATGCCACTGTTGTGGGTCACCTGCACCCAGCCCTCCGGCAGCACTTCAAAGTGGTTCAGACGCTTTTCTAAGAAAGAAATGAGTTGGTCATCTTGTATCCTTGGATAGGTAAAGAACAATAACCTTCGAGCACAGTCTTAAACCGCTGCTCGTACTTTGGCTGCTTGGACTCGCGCAACTCGTCGGGCAGCTTCTCATCCAGCAGATTCTCGATCTCCTCGTCATCAAATTCCGAGGAATCGTATTCGTCACCGTCGCCATCCGCCGCCTCCTCCTCTTCGTCACCTCCTTCGCCGTACCTCCCACCCTGCTGCTCGCTGGTGTCGTCTGGTTGTCATGTAAAGAGATACAATCACTGTTTAGATAAGCCTTCTGTTTGTCTGGGAAATGCGAAACCCATTAAGTAAATCTTTCCTTACTTTAATTCTTCAAGTGCAATTTAAATTCGGAAAACATTAAAGATCTAGATATGAAGTTCGATTGCCACACAATCAATAGATTTTATTTAATCCAGACATAAGAAAGAAATTAATACTTTCTCCGCTTAAATAGCATTTTTAAGTCATATAAAGCGGCTAGTTTAGATTGCTTTTAAGTTTGAAAGTTGTACTTTTTTCACCGGTTATACCTGAATTAGCTGGGCAAGCCAGTCGGATAATCGGTATCATGCGCATGGAGATGACCACAAAGATCTGCTTCCACCTGCCTTACAAGAATCTAAAGGGAAACTGAAGCTGGTATTTCTTGGTTTACCTGACGGCTGCCACCTTTATCAGCCTCCCGTATTTGCACAATGATAGACCTTAAAGATCTCGAGATAAGGAATATGCCTGCACAGGCAGAACATAGGAAACATTGTTTTAACTATTATAATAATATTGTTATCGTTTTAAAACTTTTTCGTAATTGCGGAAAAGACAATTGTTTTGGAAATTCTAATGTATTATAATATATAAAATGGTTGTATATTTATTAAAATTAAATTAGACTAAAAAACAAAGGTTTTTGTATCCCACCTCGCAATGAATACAAATTCCCCACTCACCTGACTCCTCATCCTCATCGCTATTAGAGCCGACTTCATCGAGGACTTGGAACTGACGGAGTTGCTGGTCCATTGGTTCGTTCTGGAGCTCGTTGTCCCGGGTCTGTCGCATTTCCTCGATGGCGCTTAGAGAAAAGCCGGCCACCTTCAGCTCCTGCTCCTCGTCCTCCAGCCGGGGCCTCTTGCGATCCTGTCCAGAAACGGGACAATCGGCCTTCACCTTCTCCGCCATTGTGTGGTTAAGTCTAAATCGGAAGGGGTTTAATTCGGACTGATCGGAACTATGGGTACCAGTGCCTAATATTGCTGCCTAGGGGCCTATCTCGCCAATAACCAATACTGAGAGCATCCAACGCCTTGCAATTGATTTCTCATTGGAAGTGCCACATTGGTTAAGCCAGAAGCCCCCGCCGGAAAAGTCTGCGACTGCGACCGCGTCCCCAAGCACTTTCTCGATTTACAAACGTTGCTACTTGCTGCGTCTTTCGCGATGGATTCTGCCTGGTCTGTTGGACAAAATGCCAAAGCAAAAGCTGCGCAATTATACTATAACTTCAAGTTCTTAAATAACGAGTTATTTTAGCAATACCAAACAAACAGAACAAGCACCACATGCAGCTTTGCCAGAACAGGGGCTACAGATAAGCACTTTTTCAGGTTGGATTTCAATGTATTTTCGGGTATTATTTTCTTCCGAAGGAGTGCGGTAAATCATATAATGTATATTTAAGCCGCTTTAAACACTTCTTGTACGTTTCTTTTCGCAAGGAATGTTGCGAATAAGGACGCATCTAATTTATTTACTGTAAAACAGTGTGACCAGGTTGGAAGCGGTGAAAAATATTTATTTTACTTTAAAAAGTTAACTTGATTTTTTAAATTATTAAAAGTAATGAAATCTAATTTTGTGCTTTTTAATTTAACATTACTCTCCAACGAGCTTTTTGAAAATTAAAAATTAAGATGACATATAAACGGGAAAGTACGTAAAATCTGTATCAAAGAAATTTATAGCTTCTATAAATTATTAACATAGCAAAATCAAAAATGTGTTTAAAATTACATTATTTATAACATTTTAAAAGACTTTCGATCTCTGCAATTAATGTTAGTTGAACTTATCAAAAAAGTAAATTATTGATGGTCCAATTATTCATTTTTTTACAGTTTGTTAACTTTTTAATACTTTTTCCATATTCTCCAGATCGAGATCCAGACTGTAAATTCTTGTGTGGACAGTAAATGGAAGGCCGAATTAATTAGCCAGCTTGTGTCCACGAAACTAATACGTCTTTCTGATTATAAAACCATTAATCGATCCACATTAAATTCTCGAAAAGTTTACAACTAATCCAAATTTAAAACTACATAAAGCTAGGGTTCCCATGGGAAAATTAGAGTTGTTTAGCTACCGCTTTCTAGCACCGTGTCCACGTCAAGTTCCAGAACCTTGTCCACGTCCTCCTGGGCGCTCGTGGTGTGGGCGTGGCCCTTAGAACGGAAGTGGGCTAGCAGATGAGATCGCCGGACAAAGGAGACTTTGCAGGGCTCGCAGCTGAAAATGTAATTTAATACTAGTAATCTGTCGGACATTCAAATAATAATGATCTCACTGAAAGGCTCGTACTCCAGTGTGACTGAGCATGTGGGTGCGGAGTTTGCCGCTCATGGCGAAGCTTTTATCACATTCGTTGCACTTGAATGGCTTAATGTTCGTATGACGGCTGAAAATATTACAAGAAATTTTAAGATAAAATATAAATAAAATAAGGAATTTATCCCCTTACATTCGCTCGTGCTGGATGCGTCCGGTGGAGTTGTTGAAGGACGCCTCGCAGTAGCGGCACGGATATGGAGCAGCGCCCGCGTGCAGTTCCTGATGGCGCCTTAGCAAAGTGGCGGTGTAGAACTTTTGCGGACACTGGTCGCAAGCGAATCCCTTGACGCCAGTGTGGCGCAGCAGGTGCAGCTTGAAATTGCTGGGACAGGGGAAATGCCGGCCGCATTGCTCGCAGATGCACTCCCTTTTGCGGCGCTCCCGTTTCAGGGCCACCACCTCATCCTCTGTGAGCCTGTCCCATTGGGTGCGCGGCATGTGGCGATTGGTGTCCGCAAACTTTACGGACGTGCAGACAGTGGATCTGGTCTTAGATGGCCTTCTATGAAGTTTCTCCTGCTCCTCGTTCTTTTCCTGAAGCTGTCCCTTCTTCTGGAACACTTTCAGGGGCCGTTCCTCCTCCTCCAGCGGAGGTTCTTCCAGCGGAGGTTCTTCCAGCAAAGGTTCTTCCAGCAATTCGTCTATAATCTCGATTTCCGGGACTTCTTCAACAATCTCTATGTCTTCCTTTTGAACAGCCCCAAAAGACTCGTTCAAATCTATGACATCCATATTGCTGTGACTGCTTTGCAGCTGTTTTTGGGTGAGAATCACGCGCTCCCGGAAGGAAACTGCTTCCCGCAAGTCCATTTCGCAGGGTGCGCACATAAAGGCGGGTAACTCGTCCTCCGATCCCTCCAGCAACTATGGATAATCCACATTTCAGTTGGGGAAAAGATCAAAAATGCTGCAGACCCAAAACCATCAAAATTTTCTGAACGTTCTGTGGTCGCCGGAAATGAAAGCCCCACTCACAAACAAACCCGTTAGAACCTCTATCTGGTGCAGCGTTACAGAATCGGGCTCCTGAAAGAGATTCTTGGGTGTCGAACAGAAGATAAATTTGCCGCAGGTGCGGCAATTACGAGCCGACATTTTAAAAACATTAAATTGTCTACAATTTCGCGATTTGCATTTTAGTGGTAACTTGGAGTTGCCAAATCTTTTTATTTTGTATGGCAACACCACCATCTGTTTTGTCTGCATTATGGGAGTTCCCAAAAACAGATTTAGTTTTAACATAACAAAAATGAACCAAGAACCAGTTTTGATAACATCTAATGTTAATTAAGCAGGAAAAATAAAATATATATACCTTTTAAAATCAATATAACTTCCATATATTTATTTACGTGTGACTGGTTAATTCTGAGAATTATCTTGATTTTAATGTTATTTCTAAGGAAAACAGAATTTCCATTTAAATAATATTTTAAAATGTTTGTTAGTTTTTATAACAATCTAAGCGAATTTTCCCCATTTTCTTAATGTGATGTAGTGATGTAAAATGAAGAATATTGTTTTTGTCCGATTTTTCTGACAGTTGTTTAGAAATTGTCTAAATGGCTATAACAAGATAACAAAATTCAGACAAACATTTTTACAGATTATGGGACATTAAATTTTAATCGGGATAATAATAATAGGCGTGCCTGTAATATTGTTAAAAGTTCTCCTGATATATTTTTAGCCATGATATATATAATTCATTAATAACTAAAATGTTTATACGCTTATAATAATTGAATATTGATATAATTGAATTTGGAAAAAAAACATTAGAAATATGATCAACAAACAAAAATCTATTCAGTATTAGATTGAATTCTTTCTGTAAGTAACATGAAAAGATAGGTAAAATTTTCCTTTTAAGAAACTTTTAAGTGATTAGCAATAATTATCTCGTTTTTAATTCTGTGGTGTGATTCGTCACTACGTGCACTGCCGTCCACAGTGATGAATCCCCCTATTAAAAGCCTTATTGACGTAAACAAACCCCAAACGTAACAAATTTTCCCACATTGTTGAAGTTTTTCCCAATTCGCATATCTCACAGTATGCACCTGAACGAGAAGATTAAAATACTAGGTCATAGGATTATCCTGGTGCCCTACGAACCCCGCCACGTAAAAAAATACCACAATTGGATAAGCAACGAGACGCTGAGGCAGTTGACCGCCTCCGAGGAACTGACATTGGACGAGGAGTACCAAATGCAGAGAAGTTGGCGTGAGGACAGCGATAAGCTCACCTTTATTATCCTGGATGCTGATATCTATTCCCGCGATCAGGACGAAATAGCCGCCATGGTGGGAGACACGAATCTCTTCCTGCGCGCAGATCCGGATACTGATCGCCAGGTGGCAGAGGCGGAGATTATGATAGCCGAGCCCGAGGCAAGGGGCAAGGGACTCGGACGGGAAGCCATGCTCGTCATGCTCAAGTACGCTCAATCCCAGTCCCAGCTGAAACTGGATGCATTCGAAGTCAAGATCGACATGGACAATACCATCTCCCTGCATTTATTCGAGACTTTTAGATTTGTGGAGACGGGTCGAGTGGAAGTTTTTCATGAGGTCACCTTGGAACGCCAAATTACTCCAGATTGGATCAGCTGGCTGGAGCAACAGGTTAAACTTCAGATCGAAAGCTATTAGAGGAACAAGCCCAGTTTTGTTCAACTTCCTTTGTCTATAAAATAATTACTTTTAATTATAAGTTGTAGTTATAGAAGCTTCTATGCATCATTATTGTGAGATAGGATTGGGAAGTAAGTCATCATCATTTCAAAACCCTACAAATTGAAGTCTTCTGGGTTTAACATATTTAATGGATCCAATCGGGCTTTCACAATTTCATAGGGTATATTTTTAGCACTGATCATAAAAAAATGATTAACCAATAATCACTGATAACAGATAGTTACCGAATAATAATTTTCAAAAATCTGAAGGACACTTTCATATTATTTTTTCTCTGTTTATTACACTTATGATAAAACGACTTGTTTCGCTTGCCTTATTTATGTTGCATTTTACATCATATGTATGTATTTATGGGTGCATCAATGTTTATTTTGTTTCGCCGTGTGGCTTGGATGATTGTAATGCTGTGTATGCTTCTTGTCGTGATTTGTGTGGCAGGAAATGGGCAACGAAGACTTCCCGCTTGTCAATTATCTCCGGAGTTGCGAGTGGATATATCTAAATACAGTACATAAAACTAGATGCTTAGTGCTTTACAGCTGCATACTTAAGACTGCTAACTTGTTTCAATTTTTTATAAAAATCATTATTGAATAATCAAAGGCAAACATAATCGTAAACAGAATTGCAAATGAAAAACCGAAAACCTGCCAATAGCTGCCGGATAGCTGCTGTTTTAATTGAGTCCTTAACATAGATGTGGGCCGAAAATAAATACGGATTAGGCCGAGGCACGTGGACCATCGATGGGCATGGCGTGGAGCACTTCGTCCAGAAGCTGAAGAGCGCGATGCAGATGCACCTCAATCCAGCAGGGCGTCTCCTTGATCGACTGGCGTGGGTAGTCAGGTCCCCAGCCCTTGACGAAGCTCAGTCGCAGGATGCACAGTCGGCGCAAATCGTCTACGCCAATGCCAGCCGCTGCAGTCATGCCTGAAAACGGCAATTTAAGTGATTAGTTGACTTTGTTCCATAAGTTAAGACCCGAAAAACTCACTCCTGCCGCCTCCGCCCATCTGCTGATTGGCTACTCCGGCCACGGCTGCCGCCTGAGCTGCTGCAGCTGCCTGAGCATTGGTGGCCAGCGAGTGCATCTGCTGGTGGCACTGGCGCAAGTCAAACACCTGTGACGAACACACAATTATTATTGAATTGATCACATTAATCACATTCCATAACCCCACCTTAATACACGCCGCCGGGTAGATCTTGTGCACTGCATCGCCAGGTGTGCGTCCCGCCTCGCGATCCAGGTAATAGCTTTGTACGAACACAGAGTTGTCGCTGAGGCAGCGTAGCCATACGTCGCCCTCACCACGCAGATCCAACTGCACGCCCTTGCCGATGTGCAGCCTACAACAACGAGTCCTCAAATTAATCCCCGCTGCACGAGTTGCACCCAAAGTTATCCACTCACCTGGCACGTTCCGACTGCTCGGTGCGATGAACATTGCTGAGTGCGCCCAGGCAGAATCGATTGCCTCCCGAGGGATCCACATAGCCATCGATAATGACATTCGGTTTGGCCGAGGGCACCTTGAACGTCTCGCCCACCTGGGTATCCAGCTCGAAGTAGGCGATGGAGCACCAGTATTCCGGAGGTGGTTGGCGCGACAGGAGTCGTGGCTGTTGCTGCTGTTGTTGCTGCTGCGGAGGCGTCTGTTGCGGGGAGCCAAGGTCACCCGGCAGCGATGAGTTCCCTAAATGCATACAATTAAAATCCAGACAGTCATATATATGCATAGACTTGACTTACAGAATCCTCCCGGTAAAGAACGCGGATCGGGGGGCTGCATGGACTGGGTGTATGTGAGGGTGTTAGGTCCTGTCCAGGTGCCAGCCGCACCGCCTCCTCCGCCGGCCTGACTCCCAGCAGATCCAGCATTGGCCTGCACTCCGGTTGGAGGCTGCTGTTGCTGTTGCGCGGTGGGCTGAGCTGCACCAAAGACTCCGCCCCCTCCAACGGGGGCTGTGACCGCGGATCCCGCCTGTGATACATAGCCATTCTGCTGGGCATGGACGGGCGTACTATTCGATATACCTGCACCGGAACCTTGCATCTGACTTCCAGGTGGCTGTCCATAGTACTGACCTCCAGTAGCGGTGCCACCGCCGGCACTGACTGCTCCATTGGGTACTCCACCCGCCTGCTGTTGCTGTTGTTGTTGCTGCTGCTGCTGTTGTTGCTGCTGCTGTTGCATGGCCAGAGCGGAGGAGGGATCAGTGGGAGAATTCGCCTGCGTATGGTGTACCCCATTGCCCTGGGGATTCTGAGCCTGCTGCGGCGGCGGTGGAGGAGCCATCACGGGACCAGGATTCATGGGGCCAGGCATGCCCGACATTCCATGAGGTACGGCTGAAAGTAAGGTGATAGAGAAAAGAGAAATTAAGTTAGGGAAAAAGTGTAATTCAATGAAATTAATATTTTCCCACTGATCAAATCAAGGCACTTGGTCCCTGGAAGATGGAATTGTATAGAAATGATCCGGAAACAATCCTTACAAAGCGGATGAGCAGCTGCCTGTGATTGGGGCTGCTGCTGCGGGGGCTGAGGGGGTGGTTGTGGCTGCGGCTGGTGTTGTGGGGGCTGACCGAGCCGCGGGGGGAGGTGGCACCATCCAGGAGCTGCGAGACCCAGCTACACCATCCTGCGGCTCAATTTTAGGTATTGTGCGGCCGCTGGGAAACATTGCACTCATGGGATTGGCTTCGCCAACTAAACAAAGTCAACAGAATAAGAACAAAAAGAAACAAATGTAAACAAATCATAAAATTATGAATATAAATATTACAATTAAGGCAAGTTATGATATTCCATAACTTGGCTTTCGTAACTGAGTTTAGAAAATATAAACTAATATAACAAAATTAAAGAAAATGAAAGAAGAGAATTGTGCGTCACTCTACGAAGCTGTTGGTCCCCTAATAAGAAATTCCTAAACAAAGTTCATCCCTACCATATTCAGCCGGTCCCTGTGGATATCCGTAGCCGCCAGGACCCACCATTTGCGTGGGGTGGTGTTGTATAGTGCCGATGTCGTTGCCATCTATGTCCATGCCGCCCACCAGCGGACCCGCTGAGTATTCGTCCTTCACAAGGCGACTGGGACCTGACTGCAAGCTCAAACCGGACAGGTCGATGCCCGGGGACACGACTCGCTCGTAGTGGTAGGGATTCACGCACACCGAGTCACACTTGAGATCGAAGGCGAAGGCGCAGTACTTAACGTGCTTGAGCTCGTTTTTGTGCAGGTCCGGCCAGCGCCAAATCCGGGCATATATCACGTGCGGAAAGCCCTTGCGACCGGCGACCTAGAGTGAAAAATGGAAAAGTGGGTGGAATTAAAATTGGCCTTTAAAAGGACTATTTGGTTTAAAGGGAACCTAGCATTTATTTTCCCTACTTCCTCCCATAATCTACCCAATATCTGTATCAAAAAAAAGGAAAATAGGGGAACAAATAACACCGGCACTTATCTCCGATAAGAGGAGTTCCCACTATCGACTACCTGAGTAACTTATCCGCACTTCCGGGAATCCATCTCACCTGCAGTCGACCGTCGAGGGTGCGCTGAATGGTCACGCACTTGCTGGGATGGGCTCCATTTGTGGTGATGGCCGTGATCAGGGAGTCCAGTTCGTCGCGCTTCTCCTTGAGCTTCTTGACCAGCGACTCGATGGCCCGCTTGGCGAATCCCTCACTCTCTCCGCCCTGTCGGTGGCACATCAACGAGTGGACGATGCTCAGGCAAGCGTCTGCCGATGTGGGGGCGTTTGAGGGAGGCGGAGGCGGCATTTGCACCATGTCCCGGACAATTACTGCGAATAAGGGGTGCAATTAGTTGTGTAAGGGAAGGAGATTATGGGCTCTATGTACCACTCACAATATTAAAAAAAAATTATTATTTAATTGGCTCCCGAAAGAACTTTGATAATAGCTAAAGAAATTGTTTTTTAACTAAGAAGTTATAATATTTATAATTTTCATAATGGATTAAATATGGAACTCCATTAAGTGATTCTTATTGGCTAAACACATTGTTGTTTGTATGCCAAAATTAAAGGAACCGTATGGTCGGTATAAAATTAAGTGGTGTTGCACATGAGTGATACGCACTGTAAATTAAAGTGACTGTATGGTGGACACATGTCTTAGGACACAAAGAGGGATGATAGAGATCGATGACTTACTGTCCTGTGGGGCTACGGCGCCGTACATGTGGGCGGACGGACCCGCCCCTGGGCCGCCGCCCATTCCGAATTCCTGGGCGAGGCCCAGAGAACGTGCATGGGCATCCACGGCGGCGTTGTTGCTGGATCCGGATTCGGATATGGATGCGGATCCGGAACGGGGATCGGGATGAGAGTGCCTTTGGGAGCAGGCGTAATCGTAATCAAAGCCGGCGGAGTAAAACACGGGACGAAAGGGAGGGAAGAGAAACCCAAACAAAGGCGGCACGCGAATGTGAGCACAAAACAAACGGCGGTTGGCTGGCTATGTGTGCGTGGGCTTGGGGGGTGTTGCACATACACACACACACACCACACTAACAGACTTGAACTCCCACAAAGTTGCCGTAATTTCCCTGCGAAAAACTCTGCTCTCCTCCTCCTTCACACACAACCACACTCACTGGACACACACACCGAGCAAGTTTCCTTTTTAAATCCTTTTTAAAGACTTCTTTTCACTGTTTATTCAGAAATTTCATGATTCTAAATTTATTAGCGGCTTTAGAAACACAAAAGTAGAACTTTATGCCCCACAAAATCCAGTTTTCCACCCAATTCGCCTTTTTTCCTCCTTTATTTTGTTGCGGCTGAGAAGTCTGACCGTTTTGCAAATATACCAAAGTACGACGTTGCCAGATCACCATGGCCCCAAAAACGCAGCTAGGTATTTTAAAAATACAAAGATTTGGTCAGTTCTCGAAAATTTAATTTGAGAATAAGTTTATATTTTTGGAAAAAAGGAGGAAAGAAAAGCAGATACTGATTAAAACGCAGAGGCATCCGGGTAAGTGCCTTGAGATATTCTACACAGACCTACATTCATTTCGGGGACTGTTCCATGCGTTTAACAAACTTTTTAAATGGCTAAAAATCAATCGCCACGCGTTTTTTTCTATAGATGTATAAGTGTGTGTGACGAAATTCCGGAAACTTTCTTATCTTTAAAATTGGGCAAAATCAATGTGTTATAGCTTGTGCAACAAGTTAAATTGAAGTACCCACCATCCCTATTGAAAATATTTCTCTTCCTAATTTCAATAGTAAAAATTCATTCATTCATAAAAATTCAATTCGAGTGGCAGGTTGTTTCTAGAAGTGCGATTGTGTGGGTAGAGGCCCTGAAATAGACCACCCCTCCCCCTCTCGTCATCCCTGCACACAGTATAGAAATTTCACTTAGCAACAGTAGTACAATTTCCTTTCGTCGGGAAATGCATTTTCCGAGTTACTTTCGTAGCTCTGCCCCAAAAACCACTGACTGCGTAGTTTCTATGGGCGAAAAGGGGTTATCATGATTTCTACGCTTATCAAACTGCGTCTTTGAATCTTTAATTTTATCGGAAAGTAAATGTTTATGTATTTATAGTGCACACATACTTATGTATGTTGGAGTGTTTTTATCATTAACACTGATTGTGAAATATTTAGGAAGTTTTGATATTCCTATTAAAAAAAACCTTTGAATAATAAAACAACTTTAAAACAATAATAGCTTAACTTTATTACTTTAGAAATCGGTTGTAAAACAATCTAATAGTAAACTAAAATGCATTCAAGATATTTACACATACAATATATAAAAAAAAACTATAAAAATGTTAACATATTTTTCCTCTAATCATTTAATGGGATTATTAAATGTTCAATAATTAGTGTTCTGGTATCAAGAAAATAATATTTTTTTTCCGTTTTACTTCTTCCATAATTACATTATTATTTATTGTTAGTAAATTCAAAACAAAATTTGAAATTTAAATTTTCATCCGTACTATCGTGATAGTCTGAAAATAATCGTAGGTGCTGGTTGCAGTCCACCCATTGATACTATCGATAGTCTTATCGATTTTTACGCTGGCGAGTATTAAGCGAAAAAGACATCTGGTAACACTGTAAAATTGACTGTCGAAAACAGTCATTCGAAAAAAAACAACAAAGCCAAGAAGTACCGTTTTTAGCAAGCGCGAGTGTTTGAATGTGTGTGTGTTTGCCTAAAATTAGAAAATTTAAGTTTTTTAAGGACTAAGTGCAAAAATCAATGCTTTTTGAAAGTACAAAGCTTTGCTAAAGCGGAATATAGAACAAAGAAGAAAAGAGGCTACGATGCACAGCTGATGGAAAAGAGTCCCAAGCACTTTTAGCCTGGTGTGTGTGGGAAAAATCGATCCGCAAACGGGAAAAACCGAGGAGAAAATGTCAGCCTAAGAAAAACAGAGTTCAAATTGTGATAAAAACGCAGTACAAATTAGTTAACAACTAGCTTAAATGGCAAACGAAAAGGTTTTATAGCGAACTATCTGCCGCAAAAACCAAAATAAGCCCGAAAAAGCTGCCAATATATTCACTTATTTTCGAGTGTAACAAAGCCAAAATTTTTAACTAACAATTCATCTTAACATTCCTGCGCAACACAAAAACAACAAAATGGCTGTAAAAACGTAAGCAAAAGTCAATATATTTTATACGAAAAGTCGATTAATTGCAAAAAGAAAATCAAGGTTTTAATCATTTCTGTTTTTTCGTCATCCATCAGATGATTTTGTTTGTAGAAAAGAGAATAATATATTGAGGCATACATACACAATTTTTTAATTTACGTGTTTGTTCCACTTCCAGTTCGTTTCACAGCTGTTTGGCTGGTGTTTGTGTGTGTGTGTGTGAGCGAGATAGTGGTTTTTGTGGTCCGCTATTCATAGGTCGCTGCTTAGGGAGCAAGCGAGAGAGATATAAAGAGAGGGAGGGTGGGGAAATTATGCTGCGTACACCAGTCCGTGTGTCTGTGGGGCTGTGCTTTTTATGCAAGCTGTACAACATACATTTGTATAAGTTTGCCTTTGTTTAGTTACTTGCTTTTAAACGCCCTTTTCGCATAGAAAACATATCCCAATTACCTCCCCCTATTGGCATATCTGCAGCAGCTTAATTTAAATCAATTGTTATAATTTACAACCCCACTTTTTTGTTGTTCTCCCCACAATCAATGTGTTTCACTTCCAAAGTTCCTTCACAAACACACGCATGCACGGGCTGCAAACAAAGGCTTTGAGTGTGTGTGCTGTGTTCCCATTTGGATTTTTGCTTCATATACAAGCGCACACCAATGCACCAACTTGATTTGTTTGCAAGTGTACGTGCGCGGACTTAAAATTGCGTCAGCCAAAAAATAAAATATGTACGACGAAAAAACTACATCTTGTTGTTAAAAAAAACTATCAGAAGAAGCAAGTTGTTATTGAAACACACAGTTAACAACTGTTATTGCATTCCGTCCTATCCTCCGTTTCTCCTTTGGTAGATGGCTGATTTCACCTTCAGCGTTTATATTTTGTTTTTCTGGGTCATATTTGTTGATTTCAATTTGTTGCGCAGCCGCAAACACAGAATTGCTTAATATGTTGATTTTCATATTTTCCATAGCCTCCAAAAAATACAAAATAAATACATCACATAAAACGACCCCCACTCACGCATACTAATGAATTAGAAGGTGAGGGTGTGTGGGTGTTGCTACTGTACCGTTGTTTTATTTATTCCTCTTCACACTTGTTTACATGTAAATATCTCTTCTTTGTGGAATAAAAGAAAAACGAAAAAGAGAAGAGAATTTACCTTAAACTCTTAGGTGGCCAAAATTCAAAATTCAAACCAAAATTCGAAGGCTTTTGTTCAAAAGAAGTTCTAAAAAAACTTAATTTTCTGATGGTATTTTTTCTTATTGGAAATTGTTAAATACTTTTAAAATCAATTGTCGAAAATGGAAAAAATTGAAGGCCAAATAACGAGAATTCAAGCTGTCTATTGGGCTTGCTCTTGCGGTTAGGAAAAGTCGCCTTTTTACCAGAAGCCGTCTGCTTTCTACCTGTTTCTTTAGATTTCAGACTGCCATGAAATTCGTGTGTCTGCAAAAAGACGGCCGCCTAAAGTGAAATTTAATGCCCAGACTTACTCGAACGACAGCTGACTATCCCAAAAAAATGTTATACCATTCAGATTCACGGAGATTTGAAGCCTAAAAAGGCACTTCACTGAACCGAATTCAGTCCCCTTCCCCTTCCCTATATTTTCAGCCCGTGCCAGGCGACTTTTCGAGTCCCACCCTTTTCCTAATTCAATTTTATGAAAGGTGACGAAACAATTCCAATATTCCCGCTTGCAGCTGTCCTCTGCTTATTTCGCACTGCAGCTGTTTTTTCTCTGGTGGCATTTGTATGGATTTTGTGGGTCTCTAACCATGGCGATAAGATCGAATCGCTTTATCGAACCTCGCCATTACGTCATGGAATGTTACGAAATGTCCGCAAGTTTTCTGATAAGCGAGTCTCCGCATCCCCCGCCATTACTCACTATTAGGATTGAAATGTATCAGGTAGTTATCTAAATGTCAGTTAAGAACCTTGGATATTACAGTGTTTGTATGTCGGAGTTGGAAGTAATTGAGCCAATGCGATTACCCAAGGCTAGTCATTACGATGGTAAATACAATAGCTCTCTTTATCAAGGGAATTTCTCCATTATTACGCTTAAAGAAATCCCTGAGGAGGAGGCACTTTGTGATTCATGGAGGCCCATGGGAAAGTCTTGGTTAAAACTCTGGTTCAACGTATTCTTACTAAGTAATTAAGTTGAAAAATATGTATGTTGAGGAATTTCTTATAAAGGGAATTCCCAATAAGTAAGAATTCTTGAGAAACTCCCATTTAATTGTTTTTAGGCTTTTAAAAAGCTAACCAATAGGTTATTTTCCTTCTATTCAACCATGTTCAACCATTCTCTCAGAATCAGAAGCTAGATGGTGTAACGTCTACGTCCCTATGTTATTTTTCGGTACTTTGACCCTCGACTGTGTTCCCTGCGATTAGCACTCGCTTATCATTCCGTTTGGGCACGCTCCTCAGACGCTCGTCGTTTCAGTGACTCCGACTTTGGTCACGTTCACTTTACGTCAGGGAAATTCTTATACTGCATTTCCGTTGATAATGAACAGTCCGAGGGGTCGCTTGAGTGCACTGCAATTTGGTAATGCGTCGAGTCACACGATCGATAGATAATTGGCGAAATGCAAATCGCAAGTCCCCATTGACAGATAAGTGGGTCTAGCGATAGACTGATAGGGCTTGAAAACCATATATTAAAACTATAAACTAGAAAAGGCAATGAAATAACACTACACTAAAAACGGGCTTGGCAAAGGTCGATTGCCTGATAGAGCGTCACCATTTCCAAATGCTTTGTACCCGCGGACAATGCCGCTGATCGTTTCTCTATCTATCTATTTCCGTTTAAGGTCTATTTCTTTTCTTTACCGAAAAACATAGTTTCCTTTGTTTGTTGCGGATATCGGAAGATAAGTTGCCTCGTATCGTATCTTTTGCAGCACATGCCACTGCAGCTGCTGCAAGATCTTTTCATTGTATTACCCCCCGTCACTTGTATTCGGTCATTATTTAAATTCAATTCTGGGCTGTCACAGGGGTGGATTTCAGCGCTTTTTGGGGTTGCTCAAAAGAGCCACCCTTAAGCAAAAACTGGCTGGGCAATTTCCTTCTTCCGTTAATTATAGCCTACGACAAAGTCAACGTTCTTTGCACCTCTTTTACACACGAGAAAGTCAAACAGTTCAGGTTTCTTAGGGGTTGACAACGGATTTTAGAGTTGGTTCAGGTTGTTTTAGAGAATAAACTATAAATGAAAGAAATATTCGTTGGCTTCTAAATTAAAGGTTCCAATATAGGATGGTTTTTCTATGCAAAGGAAGATGTGGAATCCAAGATCTTGTTCTCCGTCCTCCTCCATTGAAAGCCTGTCTTCAATCACGTTTTCATTTCTTCCATAAAAAGATCCACTCGATCTCTCTAGCGCTCTCTTTCCCGCAATCTACAGCGATCTCACTCTCTCTTTGGCTGTCATTTATTGACCTTCATCAGTCGATGACGATGATAAATGTACAATCCATTCGTTCGTTCAGAAAAAGTAAGTAAACAGAAAAAAAACAAAGCGTACGAATTAAAAACAATTGCCCAACAGTCATATGTTTGCTATGGAAAATATTTTGTTTTTAGTGGAACCTTTTTATACATGTACGATCCGCACTTTCATTTTGGAAACGCATCTTCGCTTGAGGTTTTTATCTTTAGGCCGCGCCCGTACCTCAACTTTCAATTGCTGTCAACGGATTTACAGTAGCGCCTAGATAAAGACAAAGAAAAGCTACGGAAATATTTCACACCTGTCCCAGGTAAACGACCACGCCTCTGCCGCCTTCCGTCGGTTACGAAAATAGGCAAAAAGTGAAATTTTTGTGGGCTTCAGCTGGTATTTTTAACAACAACATTAAAAATATGGCTACACAAATACTTTTTGTATCTGCTGCATGTGTGCGTACGTGCTTTTTGCGTCAGCAGAGCGCGCGCCAAAAAGAAGACGACTAAAAACAACTTGCCAACTGAAAAAAACACTAGGAAATAATTCAGTTGAGAAATCTGGCATACATAACATTATTTTAAAAGAACTGCAGTCGTTTCGAAAACCTTGGCTAGGATCAAAAGTGCGATAACTTTTTGGTTTGCTAAAGTTTGTGTTCTTCTTTTTATGGTTTTATTAAAATTGACGCTTTTATTAAGAACACCTTTGCTCTGTCTTTATCTTTCCTTTACTGTGAAACCACAAACACAATATTTGATGGTCGCCAAACCGAAGAACAATCATCGGATGTTGCCAAATCATCTAATCTTCGCATTGTTTTTCATAATATCTTATCGCATTTTGATATTTTAGCAGATACAATTTACTCTTTCCTAGTCATAACCCAGTTTCAATTATATTTAACACTTATAGTCTCTTACAGCTCGTTATGTTGTTTATTGTTATGCATTTGTTCATTGTTTTTATGCTCAGCAAAGCGTAAAAGTTGAACTTTAGCCCTCCGCCTTAGCGTTGTTATCACTTTTGTTTTTGGAAGTTTGCTTCCATTCTGGTTTTTAAAGCTTTTTAAGCTCCGATTTCCATATTTCTTTAATGCTTACTCAGCAGCTTTGAAGTCGAAAATTTTGTGTGGATTTTCCCCCCTGTCCCTTGAAACGAGTTTTTGTGGGTGGACGACCTTGAATTGCGGGCCCGAAGTTAGTTTCATTCGGTTGTTATAGGTTGTTTTGGTATCGGTCTTTAAAAATAGAACTGATCAATAGAAACCACAGAAAACGGAAGTCTTCTCTGCCAGTGCACAAATTTTTCGGGGGGAATTTTCAATGACGTTTCCCCATATCTCTCACACCCTATGTGCCTCATAACCCGCATCTGAATCACTATATTTGGGGTATTGAAAGATGATTCAGGGCGCGGTCAAAAATGGTTTCCCTGACCTTATTATGAATAAATGCCGGAGTCATCAAATTTTGTCTTTATCTTGCATTCTTAAAGTCCGAATCACTACATGTAACTTAACAACTTAAAGCCTGAACGCTTTTGGTATATGTAATAATACAGTTGTACTAACAGAAGTGGAATTTTGTATTTGAAAAATGCCAACAAAAACTAGTTATTTTAAAATTTTTATACTTAAATGGATCTGCTCGTACTTGCCTTTAGCTGCTGTTTGTTTTGCTAATAAGCAGCCTTGTTTATCTGGTTAGCCATGAAGCAGGTTAAATGCTTTAAATTGCCCTCACTTGTGGTTATTTTCGTATGCAGATTGAGGACGATCGAAATAAAAAACGAAACCTTTGGCGCCAGTCGCCATATAATTGTGATTTTCTCAATGCCCGACAATGTCTACAATTCGATTTCCTCCTTGGTAAGTCTAAAAATAGCCAAGGCGGTCCCTCAACACTACCAGATACTTGTGGAATCTCAGACTTTCCGATCACATCTGGAGGCAATTGTTAGGGCTTTATTTACGCTTGCCATTCGTTGTTCCTGAAGTGTTTGGTTTAGCTGGGTTTATGTCATATATCATCTAATTGTTTACACTATATGAAGTTTTGTTTTGGTTTCGAAAGAGGAGAAAGCATGAAATGGCAGGCATTATCTTCTCTCGGGTTTTCCTTTGGTCGAATTAAACTAGCACACAATATGGCGTCGCTTTATAAATGTTTGCTCAAGTGTTTATATGTAGATTTTTTTTGGGTCTTACATTTGCCCAAGCTTTAATCTTGGGCTTTTGGGAACAACTCTTGTCTAGCGGATGTGTGAATTGATATAGAAGCACTTAGGAATTGAAGTTGAGCGGATCTAATATATTGTTGTTTACCCTCTTGAGATTGTTTGTTATGGCTAAAGAGTGAAATTTGATTATATGAAAAATCTATAATGAAATATATATAATTTAAATTCGACAATTGTTATTTTATTTCCTGATAATTAAATTATATTCAATTGCTAGGGTTATTAGTTTCATGATTTGGTTTCGCTCAAAACGAGTGGAGTCCAAAGTAGCAAGGTCGTTTAACAATATGGTAGACTTTTGTACATTTTCTGTTTGATCGTTTGCGTCCGAATAATTTGTATCAAAATATGTTCGTTGTGTGATTCTATACATGCTTTGATTTCTTGCAAATGGACGAGTGTCTCGATCTATTTACGTGGCTCGCCTTGAGGAACCACATCGAAACCCAGATCCCCCTGCTTCCTATGACAACCTTGTGGTGCGCGATTTGAATAAAAATGTGTCACTGAGTAAGGTCGGATAGCCGATTTGAGTTGACCACTGCTCAAATAAAATGTATTCCAATGTCATCATGTTTATTGCTCAACTCGACGAGTGCATTTGTCCCAGTGTACAGATGTTTTTCCTTTTTTTTAGCTTAAACCAAAAAGTTCGTTAAACGCATTGAACACGATAGACATATTTTGAAAGCACAGAAAAGGGAAGGGATGAGTGCACTGCACTTGCACACAATCAATTAATTTGCATGCCATTCAACCATTGATTATATTTTGAAACAACACTGTATTAACATTTTAATTTCTCTGTGCCCACACACAAACAACTTTTGCAGCTCGTAAGTTTTATTTCAATTTAGCCAAAGAAAAACAAAAGCATATAAATATAAAGCTATCATAAAAAGCTGAAAATCAAAATTAGCCAAGCGCAAGAGTTTATTATCGTGAAAAGCACTGAGCGAACACTTAATAAACCATCATTATTAGCGCTTTGGACAGAAATTCATTTGGTTTTGAGTTTCTGACCACATTTTCCATTTCATTAGCGCGACAATTGTGAGATCAGCGTACGCCAGACAAATTAAATAGTCGACTGACAGCCATTAACCATCGAAATCCAAATCTTTGGAGTTGCTAACGTTGAATTGTCCTTTGGTACACTGCCCGCAATTGTGTCGTCGTTTATAAACCATTGTAGAGGGTGTCTTTTGTTTGTTTCCCGTTTGCCAATCGTTGAAAGAATTGCATTAAGGTCACTGAGCTGCTGGAAATTTTAAAAAACCAGCCAGAGTTTTTGAACAAGTCAGATCTCTGAGTTCTGCGACCGGTGTGTGCAGCACAAGTAGCAAACAGATTAATTTTATTTTCGGTAGCGTTTCAATAGAGAGTCCTATTGGTGTTTTTATTTGGATTCCCTGAAGCGCAAGTTCTAAACCAGCACGGATCTTGAGCGAAAGATTGAGAGTTACCTTCAAAAAAAACTCGTTGATATCAGCCCAATTGGGAAGTGTGAGATCCGTGTTTAGCTGAAAATAAAAGCAAACAAAATTTGTCAAGGACTGCGAGAACGAAAGGACGAATCCTTCTCCTTCCCACTTCTCCTCCTTGCGATTTCTATCTGGGCCTAGTTTTCTTTTTGCAATTTCCCGACACTTTTTGCCACCAAAAAGTGTTGTTTAATCTACAACCTTAAAAACCACAACAGGTACTAGGCCAGCCCTCACAATGTCTGTCCCTGTACGCTACTCCTCTGCTGCCGCCGAATACGCCGCCGAAGTTGATTGTGAGTTGGAGAGCACTCTGCAACAGCAGCAACAGTTACACCTGCAACAGTTATACGAGTACGAGCAATACCAGCACTACCAGTACCAACGGGAGCAGGATATCGCCTACTATTGCCAGTTGCAGGCGGCGCGGCAGCAGGAGCAGTTGATGCAGCAGAGGACATCGATGTCGTCGTCGGTTATGCCAGGCCTAGCTTTGCCCCAGGACCACCCAGCCACCATCATCGCACCCCACAACAACAACGGACTCACCATGGACGCCCACAGCATCAATGCCATTCTGGTCGACGACGAGCAGCCCTCGACTTCGGCCCAGGCTGCCGCCGCTGCTGCTGCATCCGCAGGTGGATCTGGTGAAGCGGGTGGATCGGGTGGTGCCACTGGTGGGGGCAAGCTGGCCAACGGCATTAACCGCAGTGCAGAGATGCCAACTGATTGGATGAGGCTTGCGGACGAGGGCCGGTATGGGACACCGGGTGCTGCTGGTTTGGAATATCAGAAGTACGAACATCAACAACAACTGGAGGATCTGGAGCGCGAGGCAGGAGGTGCCGTCGGAGGAGCCAACAACAACGGCGAGCCGTCTTCGTCCTCGAAGAAGCTTGAGGATCAGCTGCACGCCCTCACCTCGGATGAACTGTACGAGACCCTCAAGGAGTACGACGTTCTGCAGGACAAGTTCCACACAGTGCTGCTGCTGCCCAAGGAGTCGAGGGTGAGTAAAGTAAAACTTGACTTGTAAACGAGGCAGCGGCAGTCTAGCTACCTACCAAAAGCTGCTTTATTTACAGCCATTCCTCACACATAAGCAACAAACCAAATGATCCTTTTTCTCATCACTTAGCGTGAGGTGACTGCCGGAGGACGAGACGGGTCCGCCTACGTACTGCGCTGCCTAAAGATGTGGTATGAGCTGCCCTCCGATGTCCTGTTCTCGGCCATGAGCCTGGTGGACCGCTTCCTGGACCGCATGGCTGTCAAGCCGAAGCACATGGCTTGTATGAGCGTGGCCTCGTTCCACTTGGCCATTAAGCAACTGGACTTGAAGCCCATCCCGGCCGAGGATCTGGTTACAATATCTCAGGTGGGTGTTTTAAAATCCTTCTAGCCTACAGAAGGGTACTTACATTCTTGACTCTACAGTGTGGTTGTACCGCTGGCGATCTGGAACGCATGGCCGGCGTGATTGCCAACAAGCTGGGCGTCCAGATGGGACATGCACCGATCACTTCCGTGAGCTACCTGCGCATCTACTACGCCCTCTTCCGCAATTTGGCGAAGGAGATCGGCGGCGACTTCTTCAAGTTCTACCAGCAGCTGATTAAGCTTGAGGAGCTGGAGAACCGCCTGGAGATCCTGATGTGCGACGTGAAGACCACGGTGATCACGCCCTCGACGCTGGCGCTGGTGCTCATCTGCCTACACCTGGACTTCCACATCAAGGAGTCTTACACCCGCGGCAGTCCGGAGCTGAAGCACGTCTTCGAGTACATTCTCTTCCTACAGCAGTACATGAGGGTGAGTTTTGAGATCTTTAGTACATAATGGGGACCAGTGCTAAATATGGTATGTCCTACAGATTCCCGATCGTGTTTTCACCTGTGGCTTCAGCATCGTGTCGGGCATTCTGTCCCACTACAACGGACAGAACAAGGCGCCCTACAAGCAGCGGCTTGTCTGGAAGCTGTCCAGTCGCACGCTGCGCGTCCTGCGCCCGATCAACCGCTTCTCCTCCGACCTGCCCACCATTGAGGAAGGCATCTCCAATGCACTTGACGATGGCCTGCGTTCGAGGTGAGTTTAAAATCCTGGTTTCCATGGGTATTTAAAAAGGGCAACTATGTAAGCGGGTAATTTTTACTTCCAGACTTTATTTGTTTAATTTTATCTATGGGTGCAACAAAAACCAGAAATTAAAAATATTAAAATATCAATATAGAATAAAACAAAAGATTTTAACTACAATCTTGAGTGGTATTTTTCAGCCCTAATTGTTATGGGACCCAAGAAACTTTCCAACCACTCTTTATTTTTAGTGATTTCTGACATAGCCAACACGCGCATATATAATCTTGTATGTAAGCAAATGTGTCGATGACGATCTGAACTTTTTGGCGTAAACAAGTTTCTAGAATATTAGCGATTCCATTATCAGCCACAGCAGCAACAACACAATTGTCATGAGACTGGCTGGCTCGCCCACTGCCCGCCTCCTCTATAAACCGCCCATTCTATATGCGTGTTTATATACCTATTTGTTTTTTTGTTTTCGCTGCCCTTGTTTTTGCCTTTTTTTTTTGGCAGCAATCTTATCGTTTCCAAATACCCGCTAGACGCAACAACAAAATACAAGCACGTAGACCGCAGCGAGGGTCGCCTAAACAGTATTTGATTATGCATAACATTATACATTATATATGTGGGTGTGTGTATATATCTATATCTTTGGCCGTCCTTGAATTCTCACATTGAACTTAGATGTGCATGTTTCAATGTCATTGAATTTCTATTTTTCGCCTCAGCTGTTTGCTAATGTTCAAGCTTTCTTTCCCTTAAATGCTATCTTATCGCTAATATTGTTTTTTCGGTAATTCTAAAAATTAGTCACAAAAATTTAAGAGAGTTCAATGCACTGTTTCGTGAACTTTGGGTTCGAGTTGCACCTGAGCAAATGCTTGGCGAATTATCAGCTGATTTTCGGGGGAGGCCTTGATTGCAAAAGGGGTCTTCAACTTGAACTCGTTTTGTTAATTGATCGTCCGATTGTAAAGCCATAATCAAGGTTGTTGGCAGGTTGCAACTCAGTCTGAATCCCGAAAATTTCTTGGGCGTTATTGTTATTTAACGAAAGTTTTATATAAGAGCTAATTAATTAAAGGGAAAAAAATGAGAAGCTATTTCCAAAGTATATCAATGCAATCGTAAAGCTGTTTTACAAATTTGGTGATTGCTATTAGGTATTTGAGATATGAGATATAAGATAAACTGATTTATCTTTCTTATTTGGAAAGGTTTGAAATTGTACTAATATTTGCGATTTTGTGCTTTCTTTCTTTGCAGAACCGAGAGTATTAGCTCCGAGGAAGAGGAGGACTGGCCAACTTCACCCATAATTCCAATTTTCGAACAATGTTAGTATCCAGCGGCCAGCAGAAGACCAGAGACAACAGCTGGAGAACTGGAGCAGCGGATAAAGGAACCATCAACCAGACGGCCACGCGACACACATCCACTGCCTTTGGGGGCCCCCAATCTTTCAGAAGATCAGGCACTAGACATATCCCCATCAGAAGCAGAGAAAGAGGAACAGCAGCCGGAGCAGAAGGATGAGGTCTTCGAAGAGGATGTGTGTCCGTGAGATCGTTCCGCGTGCAAATGTAGTAGTGCTGGTTGAGGTAGAGTGTGTATATTTTGCTAAAGTGCATCATAATTCTTTTGGCATATACACAAATGTGTATTTGATAGCGCTGGTTCTAACATTTAAGAAACTATTGAGATACGGAAATATGGGCGGAAAGACGGCACGAATCCGCGCCCTACCCCTTTGAGAAAGTTGCCCAAGAGTAGCGCTCCCCCACAATTTTTTCAATTTATTTGCGGCAGACAAAAAAATACGTGAAAAAAAAACAAAAGCAAAAAAAAATTATTAAAAAAATTAAAAAGAATGCTGCGGACCATCATACAAAAGATTGATGCCGTTCCGGATCATTATTCGAGATCAGTGAGAGAGAGAATACGATTTGAGAATTGCGAGCCCACGCCGAAATCCCGAACATCTGGAATGGGACAGCAGTTTTTTGTTGGTTGCGCTTGAAACCTTAAAAAAAAATTCAAAAAATCAGAAAGCAAAAAAGAAAATCTTTTTCAACAGACCCCCTAAGTTAGACGTAAACACTATGTTCTCTATGTTTGTCCCACTCTTATCAGTTAATGTAAAAGCCCCGAATCAATGGACCCAAAAAAACAACCACAAAAAATCATAAAATCTAAAAAAAAGTACAAAAGTTCTTTATGTATAGACCGACTTAAAAGATAAGTTTAACAAAAAAAATCAACAAAAACAAGGTCAGATCAGATTAATCAGTAATTTTAGCCGCGCTCAAAAAAAAATATAAAACAAACACTATAGAAAAACTAAAGTATAATTCGCCGCCTGTATTGACTAAGAACTCTTAACAATAATAATAACATTAAACAAAGATACGATGAATCCACAATATGTAGTGTGTGTCTAGTAGATTTTTCTCTGTATAACAAAAACGAACTCAATTTCCGCCCTAAAAATCAAACAAAAGCACGACAAATGCAATCTTTCATTATCTTACGCAGCTAAGTAAATTTGTTATTATTACACAATTGTTTATCACTTGAACAATCAAACAATCAATCAACTTCAAGGCGTTGAGATTTAGTTCGAGCACCACGGTGATCCCCTTTTTATATTATACCTTTACATATATTACACGATCTAATTCTTCTTTTTTGTTACGTAATATTATTTAACTTATTAAACAAATTGTAAAACGAAATCCATTCTTACGTTGTACCATATGAACTACCAATTAAACCCTAGTTTAAAGCAAAACCAGCGTTGAGACAAGGCCAACATTCAATTCAGATTGAAGCGCGGCAAACTTGAGCAAAAATTATGATGCAACATTTAGCAAGATGTATCGAGGGTCAAGCGAAAATTTATAGAGAGCATAGGCAAAACTAACGCAGATAAAAAACAATTGAAATTTCGCAAATTCAGATATGTTTCCTTTTTTAAACCACTTGGCAGCGGAACGTGCAAACTCTTGTCTGTAAATTTTAATAAAATGCGTTTGCCCGCCACAGGGCATTCAGTTTTCATGAATATTTACAACAAACTCGCCTGTTTTATTTGATTTTGATACAGTGCAGCGGCGACTCCGGCGAAATGTGAGTACACCATCACCATTTCATTATTCCCAGAATCCCCAGCACACGGCAATTGTAAATAATCTTGGCCGACTTTGCTGTAAATATTCAAGGACTCTCGATCTTTAACAATTGTGCAATAGATTTTGTAATTTAGTAACCTACCTTCCGACAGCCAAAAGATCAATTCTGTAATAAACCGAAAATATTGTTAACACAGTCTAACCCTGAAGAGAAATGCGAAACAATTAACTATATTTAAGGGACAGCAGATCATGTGTTCAGTGGCGAAAAAACAAGTTTTTACCTTTTTTCAACTTTAAATAAGAGCCAATTGACAAAAAAGCGATTAAGAGAAAGGTGAAAGCAGTTAAAAGAACTCTAGAACTAAGTTTTTCTACCATCGACTGCCACAGGCTGAGATTTCATAGTTTTAACAACTAGAAAATTTTACATTGTATTTAGCGCGGAGTTAGTAAAATATTTGCAAGGATCAACATCAAAAATCAACAAGGAAAATCTCAATTATTGTAAAGTATATTTAATTTAGTTTTTATTTGATGACTCATTTCCCATTGTGAAGTTTGAGCTTATATTCGGTTGAGGATTAATTTCTTAGGAATAGTTACGACACAAAATGAATTCATTATGTACATTACGAACCGCTCATTTTAATTTATTAGCAATTACAACTTGTAATTAAAAATTAGATTTTACTTTAGGTCTCTACCAGAATCATTCTTAAGCAAATGGATCATTGTGTAAAGAAGAAAGGAAACAAGTTGTTTGAAAACAGCTGAAGCTCGTGATTTAAATCATTGTACACACATTACAACAAATAAATTGAAAAAAGTATTATTAAATGGTAAATGGAAAAAGGTATCTATGTTATTTTGGGTATCTATGTTATTTTGGGTTTTCAGATGAAATTCGGTGATGGTTAAATTTGAATATTAATTTATTCATTAAAAAATCAAATACTTGTGTACAAAAAAAATGCTTGAAGAAGGTGAGAGTGGACAAAAACTACACTTCTAAGCCCAAAACTTTTCTTACAGACATCCGATTTCAAAGTGACATACTTCTAAATGATTGTGGTTTAATTCTCTAAAAATCTGTTATTTCAACTTTATTTGTATTTTGGGATCGATTATTTGTTATTTTTACCGTGTTACCCCTTTCCAATTTTTCGAAAAATGGCTTAGGGGAAAAGTTGCCTAAAACGACGTGCACTTTTAAGCCTATAACTTTTCTTACAGACATCCTATTTCAAAGTGGCATATTTCTAAATGATTGTGGTTTAATCGATCGATTACTCGTCATTTTTTTTTCAAAAAATGTCTGCTGAAAAGTGACCTAAAACCTGCACTTCTAAGCCCACAACTTTTCTTACAGAAATCCGATTCCAAAGTGGCATACCTTTAAATGATTGTGGTTTAATTCCCTAAAAATCTGTGTTTTTAACTTCGTTTGTACTTTTGGGTCTATTTTTCATTATTTCTACAGTGTTTCCCCTTTCCAATTTTTCGAAAAATGGCTTTGCAGAAAAGTGACCTAAAACCTGCACTTTTAAGCCCATAACTTTTCTTAAAGACATCAGATTCCAAAGTGGCATACTTTTAAATAATTGTAGTTTAATTCTTTAAAAATCTGTGTTTAAATCGTTGATTTTATATTTTGGTCGATTTTTCGTCATTTTTAATGAACAAACATTTGTTTTTGCAGAAAAGTGACCTAAAGCCTGCACTTCTAAGCCCACAACTTTTCTTACAAACATTCAATCTCAAAATGGCATACTTCTAAATGATTGTGGTTTAATTCTCTATAAATATGTGTTTTTAACTTGGTTTGTATTTTGGGGTCGATTTTTCGTCATTTATTTGCTGAATATCCCAATATACAATAAAGGCAAAAATTAATATCTTTAATAACATCTTTAACATATTCCAATAATACAAATTGTACCGTTATATATTTTAATAAGTTACTATATAATTAACGCTGCCAGTGTTGCCCGTGCTTATAAAAAATGTTCATTGGTTTGAAACAGCACTAAAAGTGTATCAAGTTTTTCCACCATAATAGCAATTTCTCTAGATAGTTGTCTTGAAGACGATATATAAATTAATGGTAAGAGTTGCAAATCTATTTCCACGTTTGCCATGTTTGAAGCTTGCGAGAAGAAGCATATTTAATCAAAATATAATATAAATGCTTCGATAGTTTTGAGAAATGTTTTTGTAAACATCGATACGATATCCTTGAGATTTACGTTACTATAAGACTTTTCTGTTTCTAACATATTAAAAAAATCCCTATTAAATTAACTAGAAAAACATAACGAAATTTGGTGGAATAAATAAAATAAAATTGGAGGACGCGTATATAGTATCGTAATATTCTAAAAACAATCGATGGCCGGCACCCATGGCCTAATCCTCGATACTATCGAGAGGGCTATCGATGTTTTGACAGCTCCAGTTCCAGCTCTAGCACATAACCTTCCTTTTCCAATAATTTTTGTGCTGTGTACACGTGTTTTACAATGGCACCCGTCGAGAAAGCTAAAAAGGTGGCCAAATCGGCCAAAAAGGGCAAGAAGCACCCCGTCAACTCCTACCTGAAGGGCGGCATTCTTCGTTACTCCAAGGCTCAGGTAAATATCACCGGAAACAGTGGGGTAATCTCCTCTTGCGGGTGAGACGCCTTCGCCTGAAGAAGAGGAACAGCGTGGTTTGGCTATAGTGCTCTAATTCTGTGTGATCATCTTCGTCTGGATTTATGTTTGGTGTTTTACAGTATGCAGGGATATTTTCCGAGACGTTCCTAACGCTTTTGCAAGTTTGACTAGGTAGTTCATTATTATTTTGTCCAAATTGCATTTAGTCAAACAAGACGCTTCCTATAGGGAAGAAATTCACATTATCTGATGGGCATCCGGGCATAGAGCAACAAGTGAAAAATCAATGAACAAACCACGTAAACATAAATGTACAATAAGGCAACCCATCTAGTTTATGATAGTCCCTGAGTAATTTAACTAAAACTAAAACAAAGAATGTAATCAAGGGCATCCATCTAAACCTAGAACCACTTAAAGATTATTAAACCCATTTCTCCCCATTCCAGATGTACAAGCGCCGTGCCCTGTACCGCCTTAAGGACAAGAAGAGCCCCGTTGTGCAGAAGGCTAAGGTGCCCATCAAGAAAGTGAAGAAAATCGGAGGCCCCAAGAACGGAGGTGAGCGCACGGTCTACCTGAACAAGTCGAAGGCCACCTACCCGACCAAGACGTTCGTAAAGAAGCGCCCCTCTAAGGCCAACTTCAGCGAGCACAAGCGCAACACGCGCCGCAACCTGACGCCCGGAACCGTGCTGATCCTGCTGGCTGGTCGCCACCAGGGCAAGCGCGTCGTTCTGTTGAAGGTCTTGGCTTCCGGACTCCTGCTGGTCACCGGACCCTTCGCCCTGAACTCGTGCCCACTTCGTCGCGTCTCTCAGCGCTACGTGATCGGCACCTCCTCGAAGGTGGATCTGGGTGCCTTTAAGGTGCCCGAGCATCTGAACGACGCCTACTTCCGCCGCCTGAAGGCCAAGAAGGACAAGAAGAGCGGAGAAGCCGACATTTTTGCGGCCAAGAAGGAGCGCTTCGTGCCCAACGAGCAGCGCAAGAAGGACCAAAAGGAGGTGGACGCCGCCCTGTTGAAGGTGATCAAGGCCCATCCCGAGGGAAAGTTCTTTGCCAAGTACTTGCAGAACATGTTCGCCCTGCACTCCTCCCAATACCCTCACCGCATGCGATTCTAAGCGGTTCTGGGTCTTCAGTTTAAGGATTTTTAAAGCAAAACACTTTGTACAAGCGCGCCCGCTGGTTAGACAAACAGGATTTGTAAAATAAACCTTACAAAACGGAAAACTCTGAAAGTCTAGCTTTTTTTTTGGACTTTGTGATTTTTATTTTACCGACTAGGTTTTCAAGTTACAGATACTTCTAATAATCAACAATATTTGCCACATAATTCGTTAATTTTTTTGAACAGAGTAATTAAATATATTGGTTGCGAAAATTATCATGCTTTAAGATAATTAAGGCAAGTTATGCTTATGCTTAGAAAGTCGTACAAGAGCTGTTATATCTTAAAAGATTTTTAAAATCGGAATAGGTCAGAAAACCAAAACTTTGAGTCGACCATCAAATTAAATTGGAAAAAAGGTAGGAAAATAAATAGGGCTAACAATTATACAACTAAACCTTGAAAATTTGCAAGCGCATGTATTAACTCTAGGTGCTGATATTATTTGAGCTCTCCTTGGGCACCGTGATAGGATCGGGGTACTCCGGCTGCAGATTAAGGGCGGCCAGAAGTTTTCTCCTACCATGGACATACCACAACATCTCGCGATAGGAACGCGGGAGCACTTCATCCAGAACCTTATCCGCCCTGTAAGTCAAGTAGAAGACATTGGTGGTCTGGACTTTCCCGCTCTTGGCATCCCAAATCTGAGCCACTGTCATCAGTTGGACGTAATTCTGGGCGGCATAAACTACGTAGGCGGTGAGCTGGAGGAACTTGTTGACATGGACCGGGTGCATAAAGCTAATATCCGAGATGCACTTGAGGATAGGCCTGTCGCCCAGGTAGATACTGGCCATTATGAAGCTGATCTCTACGGCCTGGCGCATTAAATACCCCCCAAATATGGTATTTTGCGCATTCCTGTTCTCCGGGAACGGAGCAATCATCGTCGTCTGCAGGGAATCCTCCATCCAGCGACATTTGGGAGGAAGGATCCGCTTGTTCAGATCCATGCTGTTCATAGGGGTTGTTCTCTTAAGGATATCGTACATAATGGTCTGCTCGTATTCCCTGGGCGGGGAATTCAACACGGAATCCATGGCCGAGGACTTGCGCAGCTTTTGCCGCTTCTCCGCTTGCTCCCAAATTTGTTTTTCTGTCTCATCACCCACCTCTAAAGGATTAATGGGCGCCGGTCCCGTATTTGTCGCATTCCTGGCCACCATTAGGAAGATGGCCTTGGTCACATCGATGTACTCGCCATATGCCAACTGCTTTACGTAGATGGTGATCTCCATGGAGCTGCGTCCTGCCCACGAGATGTGTCCGCTGATCTCGATGTCCTGGTTGACCTGCAACCGCTCAAGATTGGTGAATTCCACTTTGTCCACCAGTAAAGTGACAAAAGTGTAGGGCAGTGGGACTCCTTCAGGTAATTTGGGTAGCTTCACATGGCGATGGCAGACCCACACCGCGAACATGTCCAGTTCCTCCATAATCCTGCCCAATCTCACCCTACCCAGGTGATTTACGTAGCTCTCGCGGATTAACTCACTCGAACTCAGGGGTAAGACGGCAGTGGTGTGTGAATCCGACATAGTTCTAGGTGGGAGTTCCTCGCGCTTGGGCTGGTGCTGCAGAAGATGATCCCGGGGCTTGGGAATGGTGTGATAGCCCACGTCCACGCCGGACTGCTCGCGAATGGTGCGAGTCACTAGAGTTAATAAGAGTTAGTTTCTGTGGGGATTTATATCCAGACCTTAACTCACCATCATCCATTGTCCCTGAGCGATGATCCGAGCTCACCTGGGGCCCCTTTTCCAGTGAATAGCTCCTGGGCATCTGGTGGCACGCGAAGGCTGAGAAGTTTGAGGCCAGAAGACGCCTCTCTTTGGCAGACGACCAGTGACATCTCCTCGCCAGCACCGTTCCAAGTCCACGGGCCATCTGACACAGCATAGTTCCAGGTTTTCCGGGTGCGGGGTCTTGGAGTTTCGAACTAGTTGACCCGCCTACTGGGGATTCGATGGAAATTTCCGATTCCAAATAGCAGTTCCCGGTTTTAATACGTAATGCAGTTCAGTTCGATCGGAGGGGCATCGACTGCTGACACTTGGACTACAAAATAGAGAGTGATTCTAGAACCAACAAAGAGCGCTGACAAAACTTCCGCTAACGTGCGATTACATGGCTCTCAAGCCAACTGAGTACCCGTACCCGCGCATGACTATCACCTGTCCACTTGGTGAGAGGTTGCCTTCACTCGGAAAAAAAGGTGCGTTTTATGGTAATTTACTTTTGATATATTTTAACTATATCCCATATTGTATGATTTTCTATTTCAGTTTTTTTAATTTTCTCAAGGAAAACATTTCATTTAAATCATAAATAAAATAACATCTTTACATAAAAATTTGATTTAAGCATTATTAATTTTTTTTAGAAAATAATAGTTGTAAAAAACTTTTTTAATCTTCGCTTAAAATATGTATATGTAAAATTATATATAATTTTTGAAGTTGATGTTATAAATCCATTTTAAACATCCCATTTTTTCTGTGTATTAATTTTAACCACAATCTAATCTGACGAGGAGGTGTAAAGATGATGTTCGGAAAACATGCCAGACAAATGGAAACTTTTTTTGACTGATTAGACCAAATATTTCACTTTAAATATTATGATTTCTATGAATCAATACCTGCTCCCATCTAATCTAAGGAGTGGGTGTAAAGCGTGAGCAACATGTGCGTGTCCAGAACATTGGGAATGGTCATGATCTCCACGAAATTGTGCATGTACAAGTAGACCGCTTTCCAAATAAAAACCAGGGATTAACTAAGAGCTTGATAGGGAATTCAACTAAACATTGATTTCATTTCTAGAGTTCTCGGGTATAGCTAAGTTCAATAATACTGAATCGGGGTCACCTTCCGTGTCTTAAATAAGAGAGTTCAACATTTGCCATCAAAAGCAAACCCAAAATTAAAATTGAAACATTTTTTAATTTCCTAAACCAAACCTTGTAAAAAAATTGTTTATTAATTACTGTTACTAATTTTGATATTTCATTATAGTTTCGCTTTAAGTAATTTAAAAATTGTATGCCTTATTATTGGAAACTTAAATCAATTTTGTTTACCTATCAAAGTCCTACGACTTCAAAGCCCTGTTGGCATTAAATATCCGGCGGCCATGGATGTACCACATGGTCTCGTTGTAGGTTCGAGGAATCACCTCAGCGACTGAAGCCGCATCCGGAGCTGAGAAAGTGTAATTGAACGCGCTGGTGGTCACCTGGCTGCCGGTTTCCGGGTCCAGCACATCAGCAACGGCCATAATCTGGACGCAGTTCATCTTGGTGTACACCACATAGGCAGTCATCCTAATGAAACTATCTACGCTCACGGGCTTCTCGAAACTTATGTCCGAGATGTGCTCCAGCTTGGGTCGACTCTTGCAGTACAGAAATGCGGCTGCCCAGCTAATCTCCAGGGCACTTCTCATAAGAAAGCCTCCGAAGACCCGGTTATGGTTATTCCTGTGTTCCGGAAACGAGGGAATCGTGCTCATCTGAAAGGAGTCCTCCATCCAGCGGCAGTTGGGTGGCAGGATGCGCTTGTTCAGCTCCAAAGTGTTGCGTGCAGTGGTCCTCTTGTAAAGCTCGTACATTAGCGACTCCTCCTGGGCATTAGGTTCCAACTTGAAGACGGACTGGGCGTTCAGTATCTGTCGTTGCTTCTTTCTATCTGCACCGCTCGCCAGGATCACCTTTTCCTCCTCATTGGCTGGCTGTATGGGATTTACAGGAGCCGAAGCCGTGTTGGTGGCGTTTCTAGCCCCCATCAGAAACAGAGCCCGCGTAATTTTTTGGTACTTTTCTTCGACCATCTGCTCCAGCCACACCACCACCTCCATGGAACTAGTCCCCACCCAGGAGACGTGACCAGATAGACGGATGTCCTGGGTACCAGACGCCTGAACATCGCTAAAATCGATGCGGTCCACCAGGATGGTCACAATAGACAAAGGCAGAGGCACACCCTCCGGCAGATTGGGCAGTTTCAGGTGCTTGTGACAGCACCAAGCTGGTGATGATAATGTTAATCAAAAAGGTTTTTGATAGGACTAGAGATTACCAGCAAAGAAGTCCATGTCCTCCAGGAGCCGACCAAAGCGCACGGAGCCAGTATAATTGATGTACATGTCCTGCAGCACGGGATTCGAGCTTAAAGGGATGATGGCCGAGGTAAAGGAATCCTGCATAGTTCGTGCTGGTAGCTCCTCCAATTTAGGTTGGTAAGCAAGGAGGTAATCCCTAGATTTTGGATGCTGAGTGTAGCCTGGTTCTATGCCAAACCGCTTTAACATCTCCATTTTGACTGGATACGGGTACATGGTCAACATTCTAGTCATATTTTTGTGAATATCTATGTACTTACCCTCCGCCATAGTGAAGGATTTATTGGAAGCCGCAGATTTTTTGATATGGCTGGAAAAAACATTTCGTAGAAAATAAAAATCTTTCCGACTTGATCTATTGGTCACTTACCTATACATTTTTGTCGCCATCTGCATGAGGTTCCTGGCCCTAAGGAGGGCCCGGCACTCTCGGGCCCCAAACAACGAAGCCAGCATTTGAGATTTAATTCATTGTAAACCAGGGCTCAGCAAAACGGTTTTCCGTTCTGGCTCCAGATCCGGAACGGAATTAAAATAACTATTTTTTTTTTAGTTCCGTTTCGATGCTTATGTCTAAATATTCAATTTAACACCGTCAATAATTTATGTTTTATAATCTTACAGTGCAGAAATAGGCAAAATCAGCGACGGAGGCAGCAGAAGTTTTGGTGGTCAAATGCTGGAAACTATTTGCTTTTAAAACCCCGAATCCTGGAAAAGCTGCTGCAAAGAAATTTAAATTATTTTGGTTTCATATCAGTTGTTGAATATCATTGCAGTAATCTCTGCAAAAAATACAAGAAAAAAATGTTAGTACAACAATACACATTTATTGCTTTTTATAAACACAGAACGGGTATTATTATTTATCTGGTTGAGTAGCCTGGCATAATATCATTGGGAAAAACTTTCAGTAGCAGTCCTGCGTCTAATTCAAACCCATGCTGGCCTCGAACTTCCGACGTCCTTGGATGTACCACATGGTTTCGTGGTAGGAGCGCGGTAGAACCTCAGTGACTGTGTCTGGAGCCGAGAAAGTGTAGTAGAACGTGTTGGTGGTCACCTGACTGCCAGTCTGAGTATCCAGTACATCGGCTACGGTCATTATCTGCACGTAGTTGAGTTTGGTGTAAACCACATAGGCGGTCATCTTAATAAAGCTATCCACGCTCACGGGCTTCTCGAAACTTATGTCCGAGATGTGCTCCAGTTTTGGCCGCGTTTTGCAGTAGAGGAATGCTGCTGCCCAGCTAATTTCCAGGGCACTTCGCATGAGGAAGCCTCCGAAGACCCGGTTGTGGTGATTCCTGTGTTCCGGAAATGAGGGAATCGTGCTCATCTGAAAGGAGTCCTCCATCCAGCGACAGTTGGGCGGAAGGATGCGCTTATTCAACTCCAAGGTGTTGCGCGGGGTCGTCCTCTTGTACAGCTCGTACATGAGCGTTTGCTCGGGATCATTGGGTTCCACCTTAAAAACGGACTGTGCGCAGAGAATCTGGCGTGTTTTCTTTCTATCCGCGCCGCCAGCCCATATTAACTTCTCCTCCTCATTAGCTGGTTGTATAGGATTCACAGGAGCTGCTCCCGTATTAGTGGCGTTCCTGGCCGCCATTAGGAACAAAGCACGGGTGAGCTTTTGGTATCGTCCAGCCACCATCTGCTCCAGCCACACCACCACCTCGATGGAACTGGTGCCCACCCAGGAGACGTGACCGGATAGGCGGATGTCTTGGGTGCCTGATGCCAGAACGTTTGTAAAATCGATTCGGTCCACGAGAATGGTGACAAAGGTGTAGGGGAGGTGAACTCCCTCCGGCAGATTGGGTAATTTTAAGTGCTTATGACAGCACCAAGCTGGGGATGTGAGTCATTTGGATTTCATTTTAAATGTGGCACAATTTTAGTGGAAATCTTCTTACCTGCAAACATGTCCATATCCTCCAGCAACCTGCCAAATCGCACGCTGCCCAAATAGGTTACATATTTGTCCTGCAAAGTGCGATCCGTGCTCAAAGGAATAATGGCCGAAGTAAAGGAATCCTGCATGGCTCGTGGCGATAGATCCTCTAACTTTGGCTGGTACTTCAGCAGCTGCTCCCTGGATTTGGGCAAGGGATTATAACCCGGTTCCAGGCCCAGTCGTTTCATCATCTCCTGCTTGACTGTGAAAGTGGCATGTTAAGGATGTAATAGATGCCAAGGAAAATAAAAGCACTTACTCTCAGCCATAGTTCCGGATTCATTGGCCACCGCCGATTGCTTAATGTGAGTGGGCGGTGAGAAGTGTCGCCTGCGGAAGGTAATGTTAAGAATATTAGATATTCAGTTACTCAAACTATTAGTTTTTATTGAATACTTACTTGCATACCGCAAAGGAAGCTGGCGCATGTTTGTTAGCCACCTTCATAGAATTTCTGCTGTGGATTAATCCCCAGCACTTTTGTGCTCCCAACAAAGAACGTAGCATCTTGGCTTTATTTAATTTCAAATTTTTATTTAAACTTTTGCGTTTTTAATGTAACCTGTCCACGATTTGAATCCAAACAAAACCAGCTGACCTCCGTAACAGCTGATTGACACAGTGGGCAGCTAAATTCTAATTCTAAGTTTCGGACGACAACAAATTTTAAGTTTTTGAACAGGCCAAAGAACTTGAGTTCCAGAGCCATTTTCTTTTCCATTAATTTTAGTATTACATACTAGTTTTAATTTGACAAAATAAATACAAAAAAAGTTTTTAAAGCCTTGGGAATAAATAATAATTATAACTTTTATATAAACTTTCTTTAGTAAAATTGAGCGTAAATACTTTTTTTTTTCAAAAATCTACAAATCGAAAACTAAATATATGTGTAGTCAAACTTGTTTGCTTTTTAGGCATATATTTTAAATACAGAGTGAACGGAATATTATTCTTATTGTGCCCACTGTGCCATTAAAAGCTATAAATAAATATGACGTCATGGCGTGAATTGTTGATTTTAATTCCGATATTCAGTTTCGATATATACTCAAAGGAAGTTAGGCAAACAAATTTGAACTTGATATTTGGCATATTGGAAAAATCATTTCATTAAAATTCATTTTATAGCCAAATATCTTTGAACCAAAATAAATTACCGAAGATATCCATACAAGTTTGTATAATGCTATAACTTAAGAGGGTTCAAAAAAAGACAAGATCCTTCTCCTAGAGGTTTAATTCCTTAAGGGCAAAGTTTAGTACCACTGGCAGCAGACCGGCATCTTCCAGATCCAGGATCTGTTGCCGAAGGTTGTCCACCGGACGGGAATGTATCATCTAGAAGAATATTAAAATGAAGACTGAGTCTTTCCTCCTATTTAAGCAATGGAAACAAACCTTTTTGATCTTCTGCCGATGCTCAGAGCTTGGACAGAAACTGAGCAGGGCGGCAGCCATGTGAGGTCGGTTAACCAAAACGCAGTGCTCGGCGAACTGCAGCAGATTGAGTGCATGTACTACTGGACAGCTCTGCAGTCGCAGAAGCGTTTTGTGCAGTAGCTCCTCCTGTTCGAAAGAGCGCGTTTCTACGGCGTTCTTTAAGGGATTGCAGAGCACATAATCCCAGGCCTGGGCGAGTCCATCCAGATGGAGCAAGTGCGGTCGGCAGCTGAGTACATCCAACAAGGCGTTAAGCTCGCGCACCATGTGAAACATGACCATCCGCTTAAGGATTCCATTCCAGATTTGCGGCAGGTGTATATCAAAGCCTAGACAAATGTTGGCCATCACTTCTAGAGACAAAGGATTCTGCGCGTTACGCTGCCATATCATCTTTAAGATGTCAATTTTGTTGCAGTGATCGTCAGAGAACTTCTCCAGGTTCGACTTGTAGCCTAGAGCCTTTAGCTCGTGGACACATTTGATGCTGATGAACTGGCGTTGGTTGATCGTATTAGTGAAAGAGTTGCTGCCATCGTTTAGCTTGGAATAGCACTCGTACATCTGCAGCTGTGTGGAGGTGTTTACGGAGCTATCGGGAGTGGAAATATTTAATTTTTCTGCTAATATGCTAAATCCAATTCTTACCCGTCCTTGAAGATCAGACCGACTAGGAATTTTACCGCCTCCGCCTTTGGCCAACTGGAGAGTATGTAGAAGGCTCTGTTCACATTCTCGCTAGCATCCTGGCTGCTGGTGTCATCCGTGCCATTCGTCTGCTCTGGCCAGTTCTGCTCCTCCATGAACGTCTCCTCTAGCAAGGTGCCGTCCGCCGGCTCCATGGTCACCGAAAGCCACTTCTGCAGCAGTCGGAACTGGATGGAAGCCAGGCAAAGTTCGTGCAGCTTGGCAATTTCATCGACCAGTGCGTTAATATCCACTTTGCTGGACTTGAGGATCAGCTCATGGTGGTAAAGCCCATGTATTAGCTCGGTGGGGTTCTCCACCTGACGCAACAGCTTCTCATCTGTCATCCCGTAGACGTACAGCAGATGTTGAGTCTTTTGGATGGGATACCGCCGCTTCACCTTGGCCACCTGCTCGCGACTCTTGGGGTCGGTGATCAGATGGCCTTTCTCCTTGACGAACTTCCAGCACTCAAAGGACGCTTCCACTTGGTCGGCACCATCCCGGGCATAGTTGGACACAAAGTACAGGATCAAAAATGCCTTGTTGGGGTTATGCACCTTATCGACCAGACGCAGAATTGACTGGAGGAACGCATTGTTTGTGGGATGCAGACTCCAGGACTCTGATTCATTCTTCGACTTGTACTCCGAAATCGAGTTCTTCACTGCTGACATGCAGAAGTAGTCACAATTCGGAGAACTATCCTTTGCCCCCTTTAAGGCCGTGTACATCTGAATCAGTGGGAACCAGCTCTGGCAGTTGTCCACGTTTAGTTCGCTGTCTGAATTGGAGTAAAAGAAAAAATTATGGGGTTTTTTTTTACATTTTCCGAATAAAGGTTAAAATTACCAAGAATATCCTTCAAAGGTTGTTCTACGATGGGCTTGAATGGTAAACGATAACGTGATATTTTCGGCATGACCCCATTTTCCCTTTGCGATTTGAGCCACATGTCAGTCTCGACTTGACCAGGACGATTGCGTCGCCTGGTGATCATCTTGTGCCGCAGAAAGTGCAGAATATTCGTCCAAATCTCCATCTCCTTGGGCGCCGCATCAAAATATATTAGGATGTTAATTACACACATGTACAACTCGTAGAAGTAAATGTTGATCTAAATAGAAAATTAAGAAAGCGTCATTCAAAATAACCATTTAAATATTGAACTTTTTAACTTACTTCTTCGATGAACTGTTTTAACTTAGAAGTGAAGAGCTCTACGTTCTTGATCTCATTGATGTATGGCTGACACATATCGCGCATTTCCTGGGCGCTACTTAGCATAACCAGTTCGTCGTCGCCAAATGTGTCTCTCTTGACCTCAAAGCGCAACTCCTGGGCACTCAGGATGCTTAGGATCTGGGTGATGAGAATCTTCTGGTAGTCGAAGCCAAAGTCCTTGCTCATGCGCTCTAACAGTTGCACATCAAGCTGTTTGTTGTGGAACTCCTTGAGCAGGTCTTCCACATTGTCCATGTCTGCATTAAACTTTCCTTTGATTCTCGGATCCTGCTGACAGAACTCCAGGTAATAGAAGAGTTTTAAGCGCCTTCAAAATTTATCAAAATTAACATTGCCATTTAAAAACAAGAGAGAACGCTATAGTCGGGTGCCCCGACTATCAGATACCCGTTACTCAGGTAAAGGGAGTGCGAGGGAGATGGAGATAGAAACTTTGATCACGCATAACTTTTTAACGAATGGTCCGATTTGAAAAATTTCTTCTACATTTCGATAGGTATTGATAAACACAATAAAACTGCATTTTTATTTTTCCGAAATATTTAAATTTTTAAAATCGTATATAAGCGATTGTGGGCGTTAAAGGGGGCGTGGCACCGTTTTGAAACAAACTTGCGCTGCGTAGGAACTCCTAGAATCTGCATGCAAAATGCCAATCCTCTAGCTTTTATAGTTTCCGAGATCTCAGCGTTCATACGGACAGACAGACAGACGGACAGACAGACGGACAGACGGACAGACGGACAGACGGACAGACGGACATGGCTATATCGACTCGGCTAGTGACCCTGATCAAGAATATATATACTTTATAGGGTCGGAAACGCTTCCTTCTAGCTGTTACATACTTTTGCACGAATACAATATACCCTTTTACTCTACGAGTAACGGGTATAAAAATTGTATATTTTTCTTACTTTGCGCGTATCATTTGAACGTTGTCCAATTCTTCGATGTGCTCGTGATACATGGCGGACAATGTTAAGAAGTTGATTTTCTGCAGATCCGTCTTCACCTCCGTGGATAGCTTTTCCAGTAGAGCTAGGCCTTCACTGTCCACCACCAGCATGGTGAAGAGCTCTATGAAGTTGGCGTCTTTGCTTCCCATCGCATTTCGAAAAATACGGCGGAGCTGCAGCGTAATGAAGCCCTCATTGATAATCCGCTTTTTTCTGCAGTTTTGCTTCTGGAACTCCAGCAGATACTGCGACATCACGTACCACACGTCGTGCTCCTTGGCCTTGGTCAGATGTTCCAAAGACAGAAAGAAGTCTGCCCGGGCGCTATCGAGGTCCTCCCTAATGTTCTCGGCCAATCCATTGCGAATCTGCATCAATAGGGAGTTACTTGGCTCCGTCTCGATTACCATAAGCAGAAGAGTGCGGGCTAGAAATTTCACTATTGCCAGGTGTCCGCCGATGCTTTTCTTTAAAAAAAATTACAAAGGCACTGTAAAAACGAAAAGTCTTTTTGTCCGAAAGAATACCTTCTGCTGCGACTGCTGGACAGGCTGCACCTCCACCTCATCGAACATGGACACCGAGTAGCGCTTCTTCGTGGTCGCCGGTACCTGTAAAAACTTCACGTCGAAGGATCCATTAAGAGCGCTGCTAAAATTCATCGTAGTCTCGCTGAGGGCCACCGTAATTCCATCAAGGGCCCGACAAATGTGCTCGTTGACGGCCTGTTCCTTGCCATCGTAATGAGCCTTAATAGCATCCAGTGGATAGTGCATCACAGCCACGCGAATGTACTTGATGAGATCAACGAGATCGTGAAGACGACTGCTCTCGTGAAGCAGAGCGCATGTGAGCAACTCGTAGGCTAAAGGAAAGCAAAGGGGATCGCTTTCATTAATCAACTGCAGCGAGGATGCTGATTCTGGATTGATGAAACAATAAGAAAGGGATGACACTTAATTAAATATATTATAACGGTATATATCCCTTGCAGGTTTCTCCAAAATTTATTAGTCGTTTAATTAAATTATTAAAGAGACTTTAAAAAGTTCCTATAAAACTTACCATGGTTACTGCCCTTCGCGCTCTCGATTTGCTGGACCACCAGTTCGAGCGCCAAGTTTATAAAATCGCATGCGTTGGCGGGCACACAGTCGACGAAACTAATCACGTAGAAGGCCAGGGCGCAGCTTAGAGGCATACAACCAATCCGCTGGCAAATGCGGTGCAGACCAAACACCTTGGACAGATCCAGAGCCGTGCAGAGTTCACTCATTTCGCTGGCTATAAAAGCGGACACATTCAGCGTGGCCTGGGCCCGCTCGATGATCCGTTCGATGGCCTCGTCCAAGAGGCTATGACGCCTTTGCAGCGGTATGAGTTCGTGGCTGCAGCTCAACTGGATGCCAAACTTTCGCAGGCGGAAGCGATGCTTGATGACCAAGTAGCGTCGTTCGTAAACGGACTCCACATGTGGCAAGAACAACTTGAAGAGCTCCAGCACATTCAGATGTTCCTCCGCCTTTGTCTTATCCTCGAAAGAAGCAGATGAACTGTTCTCCAGGAGATTGGCAATGATTTCCACAACATCCAGTCCGTTCTTTGAGTTCTTTCCCCTATTAAGCGTCTTAAAGAACTCGTACGCCAGCTCTATTTGTCCTCGCCGGGCCATCTGATAGCAACAGTGAAAGTTGGCACTGACCGAGATGTCCGGCGCAGCTTTAGTGAGGGCACGGATGTCCTCCAGCATGTCTGGAAGATTCAGCTTTACGATGCGCATCATGAATAGTTCCAGGTTGATGTCCGAGCTGTCAGCTGGCCATCCATACTTTACTTTCATGATCTTGATCACTTGAATCTCGTATTCCGCGTTGATTTTCATGGCCAGGGGGTGGGTTGAAGTACGCAGCCTGATCAGAGGAGCTAGTGTATCTGGCCAGGGAACCGGTGCATTCTGCAGAACAGACAAAGCACACTCCAATCGGCTGTCCTCATTGTGAAGCAACTCAATGCAAGTCATCGCCCGCTCTAGCCAAGTACTGGACGATTTGCGACTGGCCACCAACTGGGCTATGTACTGCTTGACTACGTCCAGCGGCTGGCGACCCTTCTCCTGAAAGATCGGGTACATAAAGTTCTTTACTAGCCGCTGCAACTTGTCTAGCTGCACATGCTGCAGAATACTCAGAGCCGTGGCATCGATAGAGTCCTGCATATAGTTGTCCAGTGTAAAACCCATGTTGTAGTTGGTCTTTAGCACAGACAAATCCTGCAAAGCGTTTACCAAGTCCCGCAGCTTGCCCACATTGCGCTCCTGCTGCCGCCGAACATCACTGGTTAAGTTAAAGAATATTAGATTAAGCCCTATTTCTTCATTTGCAATATGAGTTTACTCACGAGTATGTGAATTGAATTTCCTCGAAAATATCCAGAATCTTAGTGCAGAACTCCAAGCCGATATCTGGCCAATGAGGACTGTACTGGAGATTCCGCGTCATCTCAATGCTCCAGTCGGTGATAAAGGGCATGATGCTGGGATGCGTGTTACTGACCATCGGAATAAACTGGCGCAGCCACTGGACCACATTGAATGGCTTCGTGTTGCCAGGAATGAACCCAAGCAGCGTGCGCAGCTCATCTTCGTTTAGCAGCGGAAGGATACTGCTCGAGTGGCGTCGCCAAATAAGGCAGGCCGTGGGCATATCTGTCTTGAACAGGGTTTTGACCATCCTTACCAAGTTGTTGTCGTAGACAAACTTCTGCCAGTCCGTGTTGCATTCGTAGGGATCTATGATGGCCAGAGTTTTAAGACGGTGCAGTTGCTCGTCGATTTCCAACATATCCTCCTCGTCATCCTTTATGTAAAAACGATTTTTAAGGCTGTCTTAAAACCTTTTGACTTAAACTCACATCAAAACTCAACCTCTTTTTGACCTCACGAAGATAGGACTCAAGGATGTGTCGCGAGTTCAAGTTGATCATGCGGTGGCTTTTAATAAAGCATTTACTTTCCACCTGCGACAGTAACTGCAACAAATTCTGGAATTTCTTATCGACCTCTAACGGTTCCTTTTGGGAATTCGAGTTGCACAGCTCGACCAGAATGCGTTTCGCTTTGGCCTCATAGATAGGCTGCAGGCCCAGCTCAAACTGCTTGCCGAATTCCTGTTAAAAATTACACAGGATAATGATTGAATATAAACGATGAAAGTCACTCAATTACTTCTGCCTCTTCTAGGCGCCCTTTGGCAATCAACTTTTTATAACGATCGCTGGGATCGGTCTCCGAAACAAGCATCATCTCCACTACCGAGGGAAGGCTGCTTTGGTTGACCTCTTTGGCAGCCAGATAGTACAGGTTGACTGCACATTTTGGCTGACGCACCAGCCAAGCGTGATCTGGTACCTCGACCTCATTCTTGACATTTAGTGCTGGAAATGGTAAAAGAAATTAATTCTTGTCCTAACATATGAGCTGTATATGTTGTATTCCTACATGGGTACTCTACTATTTTTATAAATCGACCCTCATCCGTTGGTTTGGTCAGCACCAGGATCTCAATGTTCTCTTCGCTGCACTCCATCACTAATAGATCCTCGATAAGTAGGCTCTTCCGTTGAGTCGTTTGGCACATGTGAACCGTGCGAGTGTAAGGACAAATATCCAGCAAATGGCCACAATTGGTGAGAGCGATTCTAGGTTATAGAGAAATCCACATCATAAGTATCAATGGATACCCAAAGTCATAAAATCCACCTACATATAGTGTTCCAAGTTGAAGATCTGCTTAAGACTGCCAAAGTGAGCTGGCAGATGAATGCGGGTCATATCGCTGGCGGAGTTTTTGAAGTTTAACGTGCCCTGATCCCCAGTGATGACCAGCCCGGGATTCGCTCCCAGATCCTCCTGATTGTTTTGGGTACTGATGTTGGCAGCCACTAGCTGTTTGATTAGGACGGCACAGTCCACGTTGGCCGAGGATCGTCCCTTGGAAAGACGCTGGATGGTGACATCCTCGAGAATGGCCTTCTCGCAGGCAATGGTTTCGTTTTCGTTTAAAGTCACATTGCACATCGCCTCTAAATTGGTCTCATCAATTTCGCTTAAGCTAAAAAATTGAATTTTTGTTTAAGAAAAGGAAAGTTGTAGTTGGATAGAAACGGGAAGCTTGTTATATTTAACTTTTAATGGAGTGTATTAGGCTTAGCACCAACTTGAAGCAAACTCCCTGAAGATGCCTCACCTGTAGATGCTTCCGTTCTTGCAGGTGAAGTAGAAACGATGGTCCAACTGGTGGATGCTCCGGAAGGTGCCGCCCGAGAGACTCACATCCTCCAAATTTACGGCCACGCTGAAGAGCAAGAGCCCCTTGACAAAAACCCCGTGAACCTCGCCGTCGCTGAGGCCACAGACAATAAGGTTTCCACTAGTGGAAATAGCAATGGCCTCGATGGTTGCCCCGAATCCCAAGAAGCTGCACTTGGCCACCAGTTCGTCCTCCAGGAGGAGCAGGCTCCTATCGATGCCAATGACCATCTTGCCACATTGAACAGAGGCCAACACATCCGGATATTTGTTTACCTTTTAGGACACCAATAGAAGATTTGGAAAACTAAGTAACTGTAGATTAGTCTCAATAAGGATAAGGACCCACCTCCTCTTCGCTGCTGATCTGAAAGATTCCTCGCGAGGAGAACACATTGGAGATGGTCTCGTCCTCCAAGGAGGATGCCTCAAAGTTGCTCCACATCGCTATCTCAACGCCTTCTTTCCAAGTTGCAATATATGCTAAGTTTAAACCGTTTTTTTTCCGCCAATAAACAAGCGTCACCTGGTGATGGCAGTTGGCCGATAACTCCTGGTACCTATCAGTGTCCGATTGCTTGCCAGAATGAAATCAACTGAGTGGCCGTAAAACTAATTAATTAATTTAAACAAATTCAATGGCCTAAAATATGTTATCCTAAAGCCCGTTTCTACATAGAACCGTTTTAATTATTGAGTATTTACCCTAATCGGAAGCCGCCTCGTGCTTGCGCCCTCTGGTCACACTGCTTTCGCCGCTGGAATTCCGGCATTTTGCTTGTCGTTTGAAAACGGTCCCACTGGCGGACTTGCGATGAAAATTATTTATATTTCGCTTCTTCGCACGCAAAAATTTTGTCAAAATAAACAAAGGTTAATGTTCTGCTGCTGAATAACGGTACAGTGGTCAGTCCGCCGGACCGCCTAATACGCGTAACGGTAAACCGTGATTGTGCCGCTTCGAAAATCGGTGCTAATTAAAAGTGGATGCTGCAGCGGCCATCGAATCAACTTAAAGCCAAACGAAACACAGGCGATCAAAACTGGAGAATCTAACATATTTTCACCCAGCAAATAACCGCCGGTTGTTTTGACCACCAATGAAGTTAACCCCGTAAATAAACAACAGTTAAACGATTCACTGCTATTAAAACGGGAAACGCAGCGGAGGACATAAAATCGCTGGCAAGAAGAAGAGCGCTGGCTAAAAAGGCCGTTTTAAGGGTTTAATTAGAGTATAAAAGGTGGCAAACTGGTGAGACGAGTGCTAAATAGACGTTATCCTAGTTGTAGTGGTCGAAAATCGTTGAAAACTTAGTGGCGGCAGGTGCTTGGCGCTTTTGAAACGAGACAACACGACGCTGAGTTTCCAGCGTAGAGTTGCCAACCCGAAAAAGAAACGGGGTTGCCGTTCGTTGCGCCGAAAGTGTTTACCTGGTTTTTGCTCTACAAAAAAACAGAATTTATCAACGATCCTGGCCAGGAGATGACTTGGTAGGTAGCAGGGATGCTTTGGAAAATGCCCAGGACTCACTTGAAACTTATTTTCACCCATAGGAACTCAAACTTTAGGCGGTCGCTGGCCGGATAACCGGCAAAAAGTCGTAACCCACCGATTAATACCTACTGGATTTGGTCAGAAAAGGATCTAGACGATTAGCACCACTCTGCGAAGGTCTCTCCCCTCAAACCCACTTCTTCACCAGCGTCGAGATCTCCTGCGCGAGATTGGCGACGCCACTAAAAACCGAATTTCTTGCCCCACGCCGTTGAAGAAAAGCTGCCACCATTCGGAAGAAGAATACCTCGAATATGACCCACAATCTCGGTATGGCGCCATATCGATTGCCGGGTCCAGCGGGCGGACTATGTCCGCCCGACTTCAAGCCGCCGCCTCCGACGGACATAATCTCGGCGCCGAGCAATCCGAAGAAGCGGCGGAAAACCTCGAATGCAGCCAATTCCGCTGCAGCGGTTGCTGCTGCGGCAGCTGCTGCTGCAGCTGCTGCGAATTCCATGCAACAGCAGCAGGCGCCACCGACGCCGCAGGATCTGCTGCCCCCGCCGCCTATGGGTGGCTTTGGAGACACCATTATTGCCTCGAATCCGTTCGACGACAGCCCCCAGGTATCGGCAATGTCCAGCTCGGCGGCCGCGGCGATGGCTGCCATGAACCAGATGGGCGGCGGACCAGGTGGTGGTCACTTTGGCGGCGGCGGACCTGGAGCCCATCCGCACTGGGAGGACCGTATGGGTATGGGCGGCGGACCGCCTCCCCCGCCGCACATGCTTCCACACATGCACCCGCATCATCCTGGCGGACCTATGGGCCATCCACATGGCCCGCATCCCCACATGGGCGGTCCGCCGCCTATGCGTGGCATGAGCCCCATGCATCCCCATCAAATGGGACCAGGACCAGGCGTCGGACTGCCGCCACACATGAATCACGGACGGCCAGGAGGACCTGGAGGCCCTGGAGGACCAGTGCCGATGGGCAGTCCCATGGGCGGCATGGCTGGCATGGGTGGCATGAGCCCAATGGGCGGTATGGGCGGCCCAAGCATATCACCCCATCACATGGGCATGGGCGGCCTGTCGCCCATGGGCGGTGGTCCCAATGGTCCCAATCCGAGGGCCATGCAGGGCTCGCCAATGGGCGGTCCTGGCCAGAACTCGCCAATGAACTCACTGCCCATGGGCTCGCCAATGGGTAATCCGATTGGCAGCCCGCTGGGTCCACCTTCGGGACCGGGACCTGGAAATCCCGGCGGCCCGCAACAGCAGCAACAACAACAACCTCCGCAGCCACCGATGAACAACGGGCAAATGGGCCCCCCTCCACTGCACAGTCCGCTGGGCAATGGCCCCACGGGGCATGGCAGTCATATGCCCGGTGGACCTATCCCAGGTCCAGGTCCTGGGCCCGGCGGCCTTGTCGGTCCCGGTGGCATCTCCCCCGCGCACAGCAACAATCCCGGCGGCCCGGGCAACAACATGCTCGGCGGGAATCCCGGCGGCAACAACAACAACGGAAGCAATACAAACAACGCCAGCAACAACAATCAAAATCCTCACCTTTCGCCGGCAGCCGGACGCCTGGGAGTGCCGACGTCGATGCAGTCAAACGGACCTTCGGTATCGGTGGCCTCCTCCTCGGTACCTTCGCCCGCCACGCCCACGCTCACGCCCACATCGACGGCCACGTCGATGTCCACGTCAGTGCCTACATCCTCGCCAGCGCCGCCCGCCATGTCACCGCACCACTCGCTAAACAGCGCCGGCCCAAGTCCGGGCATGCCCAACTCCGGACCCAGTCCGCTGCAGTCGCCCGCCGGTCCCAACGGGCCGAATAACAACAACAGTAATAACAACGGACCCATGATGGGCCAGATGAACCCGAACGCAGTTCCTATGCAGCACCAGCAACACATGGGCGGAGGCCCACCTGGTCATGGACCAGGGCCGCTGCCCGGAATGGGAATGAACCAGATGCTGCCACCTCAGCAGCCCTCGCATCTCGGTCCCCCGCACCCGCAACTAATGAACCACCCGCACCCGCATCCCCATCCGCACCACCATCCCGGTGGACCACCGCCGCACATGATGGGCGGCCCCGGGATGCACGGTGGACCTGGCGGAATGCCGCCTCACATGGGCGGAGGACCGAATCCGCACCTAATGGGCGGACCGCACGGGAACGCCGGTCCGCATATGGGTCACGGCCACATGGGCGGAGTGCCAGGCCCGGGACCGGGACCTGGTGGCATGAACGGACCCCCGCACCCACACATGTCCCCGCACCACGGACACCCGCACCACCACCACAATCCGATGGGCGGACCCGGTCCGAATATGTTTGGCGGTGGTGGGGGCGGACCCATGGGCCCTGGCGGACCGATGGGCAATATGGGACCGATGGGCGGCGGGCCAATGGGCGGGCCCATGGGCGTGGGCCCTAAACCGATGACAATGGGCGGCGGCAAGATGTATCCGCCGGGTCAGCCGATGGTCTTCAATCCGCAGAACCCGAATGCGCCGCCCATCTATCCGTGTGGCATGTGCCACAAGGAGGTGAACGACAACGACGAGGCCGTGTTTTGTGAATCCGGTTGTAACTTCTTCTTTCACAGGTGGGTTTACAGATTTATTTTAATTTTATTTATTTTTGAAATGTTTATTATGTACTAATCAGACAGAGTATTCAGATAGTTTTATCAATTGCCTTAAGCTAATTTAAATTATATATATCAAACTATTTGAATCGTGAGTAAAAAAATCACAACTAATTATAATCAATTCTTACAGAACCTGTGTGGGCCTGACAGAGGCGGCCTTCCAAATGCTCAACAAGGAGGTATTTGCCGAGTGGTGCTGCGACAAGTGCGTGTCTTCCAAGCATATTCCCATGGTCAAGTTCAAGTGTTGAAGCGGGTTGCAATCGGAATCAGCGGACCCTATCGATCAACCACCAGCAAAAGCAACACACCAGCTAGCACTCACTCACTGTATAAAATATCCAAGCATTAACTCTATCTTAATTGTAAGACTTAAGCTGCTCAATAGTCAAGACCCCGACCGAATCAACCAGTTCCGCTCCGGAAAAAAAAAGCCCGTAACCAATAAGCGCCCCACTAAAGTGCCGGAGCAGTGTTGTGACTTTTAGCTCCGGGCTCCTGACAAGCAAAGCAAACCTTAACGAAAAGTGAAAACGAAATATGTTATTTGTAATATAATTGTAATATGTATGTATGTCTGCATGTGGAGTAATCAAACAGGACAAAAGCCGAGACAAGAAAACGGAAACAAAGCTGATAAACAATCTAGTTTGTATTATAAAGCGAAATTGTATGAAATTATCGAGCGAGTACAGGCGGGATGATGATGCACATCTCCATTTGAATACCTTGCGGCTGTCGGGAATCCCGTAAAAAAAAACACAACAGACAACCACTCGTAACTATATAAAACACATATATCTAATGACATATTCAACACATTTTAGGATGAGTATAAAAGTTGTAACGAAATGAAATTATCATTGTGAAATTGCTGCAAATTGCGTGAGTGTGTTATTTGTTATTACAAACCTATATTATTTTTTATACTTGAGTGCGTTTACATTTTAAATAATTAATACTGAAAAGTTGCTCTGTCGAAAGAGAGACGACCATTGTCGGATACATTTTACACAAAAATATTCAATATAGCTGGAATAGGAGGATGTGGAAAATGAGAAATCGACTGCGAGCAAAAGCACATGCGAAAGAGATAAATTTGTAATTTAAGACGAATGTTAAAAACGCAGCGAAAATAATCGATTCGAAAAACAAATTTGTAAAAAAAGGAAAACAACAATTACTCTAGGTTACTGCAACTTTAAGTTATTTATAATTAAATAAAATACGATATAAAATAAAGTAAGAACGAGTTAATAATCCGTTTCTTTTTGGGGACATTAATCGAAGACGGTCCTAGCCAAATAATGATTAATCAATAGATTTTTTTACATGACTACCAATTTTAAAATCACCAAGAAAACACTTAGATTGGGTTTCATAGCATATACATGTATTTATCATTTTTTGTTTTTATACTAAACCTAAATGCACAGGCTAATCGGGGCATAATAAACTTATCCATACATATTGAACAATGAATTCATGTTGGGCCACATATACTTTTTTGGAATTGGCCAGTAACAATATTTAATGTTGCACTTGCCGAATCATGGAGAAAGATTTTAAAATTATTAAAGAGACAGAAACTGAAGGGTAGAAATTATATTTTTGATTTAGTATAGCTTTCTGTTTCGTAATGTAGTTTATATAATGTTGACAGCACGCAGGAAGCACACAAGATTCCTGCATGGCTCGCTGTCTTATCCGATTGCCGCCGTTATAAGCTCCGCCACATCCTGATCTGTGCTGCGCACAGTCAGATTCAGCGTGACGCCCTCGGAAAGTGCTAATTTGGCCCGGACGAGAACTTCGGCACCGCCCCTAAAGGAACCTGAATTGGAGGAAAGTATTTTTCTTTACATATTCAACCCACATAATGAAGGACTCTTACCTGAACAGAGCAACGTATGCAGATGCGTGCCCTCAGGTACCTTTTCCGAGAGATTTGCTGCACCTAACCCCAGTATCTTGACTATAGTGTTGACCGCATCCTGCAAGGTAGTCACTGCTGATAGCACAAAAGTGTCCTCGGCTTGCAGCCATTCTGGAAAAAAAATAATAATTAAAAATGTATACCAATGAGTTCATCAAATCTCTAGCGTACCTTCGCTATCTGCCGCATCCCAGGCCACCTGGAAGTTGTTTTTCTTAGTTTTCTGTATCTGATCGGCCACTGTCAATTCCAGATCCTCCAGCATGTATTCGTCGTCATAGCCCTCATCCGAATCTGGCTCTCCTGTGTTGGGATCGCAGTCCTTAACCACAAATCGCAAAGTGGCGCCAAAGGTGGCTGAAATCAAACATATAATGAATTAAGACAATGAAACAACACATTAAATGCTTATTAAGACATTGAAGCCTTTAAATTTTGGTCAGGTAAACAATTACATAGCTAATTAATGACCACTTACCTATGGAACTAGCTGCATCCGGCGGGAACTCCACGATGACGAATGTGGTCTGCAGTTCGTTATAGGGCAACTTGGGACACGGAATGACCGCCCTGGCCGTGAAACCTTCTGGCAGTGTCAGCTCCACGCGCACATTCTCCAGGAATTGATCGGAAAGCGTGTTCAAACAGTCGAACTGGAAGACCACATGCTGACCGAATATGTGTTTGATGCACTGCACCGTGTACTCCGTTTCGCTTTCGGTAAGCTGTATGGGAGCGGTGCTGCGGTGTATGGGACCGAGCACTTGAATGCCCGGCAACTGGGCCAAACGGGCGGCGCTCTCCTCCTCGCGAGTAATTTTTGGCGGCCGTGGAGCGCTGCTGGTCACCAGCATCACATCGTTGGCAATTACTGGCTTTACGATGGCCGCCTTGGGCACAATGGAAATATCGAAGCGTGTCTCCAAATCGCCATTCAGGTGCTCGACTAGCGATTTTTCCAGCAGAGCCAGCGAACAGTTTTCACGCTCAATGATGTAGTTCTTGTAAAGCTCCGGCCTCTTGGAGTTCAGGATGCTTAGGTAGTAGGTGGCTCTGTCCCGCACCTCGTCATCCGGATCCATCTGACAGCGGCCAAGCAGGACCAGAATATTGCTTAATAAAGCCGGACAGGAGGCTCCAAACTGGGCCATCGCAGTGACCGCGGCAGCTCTCACAATCGGGCTCTCCAGGATTACACGGTTGTAGATGAACCTTATGTACTTTGAAGGCGTGGCTGCAAAGGGTCCCTCTTTGCCCAGGAGGTGGAGAATTCTTACTGCCAGAGAAACGTGCTCGCAGTCCTCGATGAACTCGCACAGATGCGACAAACCGGACTCCTTGGCATCCACATTCTCCTCAATGATAGTAATAATGGTGTCCACAATGGATGTTTTATACTCCAGGCCGCCCTCTTCGCGCAGCATTCCGCTGAGGAAGTTCATCAGCACGGTATGCTTGCGCGGATACTTGGTGCACAGGGCGCAAATGGCCTGAACCACAACCACTTTAAACTCGTCGGAAATCTCGGCCACAAACGTGGAGATCTGCTTCATCAGACGCTCCACCGAGGACTCGGCGCCAGTCTTCAGCAGCGTGGTGATGGCCAGCGTGGCCACAGATCGATTGGAGTCTGTTATGAGCCCCTCCAAGTCTAGATTGCAGGTGGTCACCGCGGCCGGATGTGTCATGGCCACCTTGTTAAGCGTGCGCACCGCCGCAAATCGCAGGGTGGCCTTCGGTGAGCTGCAAAACAGCTGAAGGATGGAGAAAGCCGGCGAGAGCATCCGCGGATTGGTGTTCTTAAGGTTGACAATGGCATGGGCCGCCTCGTAGATGACCATTTCGCTCTTGTGGCGCAGGCAGGACTCGATGAAAGTGAATAGCGGCGAGTCGGACAGCTCCTCGGAGGGAACATCCTCTTCCTCGATCAGCTTGCAGGCAATGCGGATCTGGGGATTGCATGCAGAGCTTCGTTAGTATGAGCTATGTATATCAGAGGTACTCAAAATTCTAACATAGCAATCTTCATTATTGTAATGTAATTTATTTATAAATATATGTTTCTTGAGTATCAATTCGGGAAAGGAGATATCAGATAGGAGATATTTTTGAAATAATTAATATGAAATTTAACTTATTATTTAACTTCGCAAAATTGTAAATATCTTTAATGCTGCGTTGCCTTTTTTTTGTACCATTTTACCAACGTAATAAATTCATTACTTTAGAAGTCAGACTAAATTGACGCAAATGGTAAAATTAGATTTGAATATGCAAGCCATTTTTGAGAAGTTTCATTTTGCAAACATCAATTTGTGGATATTTTTCTTGTTTCTTCTCAGTAATATCTAAAAAATCCGATGCAATGGTTGCAAGATATGAAATTCTTGAATACACTTTTCATTTATCTATGCAAATGTTTTTTAAGCAATGTCTTCGCTTGTGCATTGGTTATTGGATAAAGAATTGACTTTATCAGACTTGTGGTAGATTAAACTGCTGTAAATTATTACTTTACTGTTCTTACCAGCATGCACACGGCGTAGGGACTCTTTAGAGACCCCCTTGTCAGCTTGTTGACCAACTTGGAGACCGCCAATCGGTCCGACTTGCGGATGTGGTAGAGCAAACCCAAGGCATGATACTGCACCATGATGTTGTCGCTGTTCAAAGCCTCTTGGGCCTCGTTGGCCCACCGCTTGACCACGTCGCCGGCGGTGCTTGCCAATCTTAGAGAGCTGACCAGAGCGGCGCACGAAACCGCCGCGTTTTTGTCGACGATGCACTGCTTCATGTAGCGCTCCACGGCCTGCAACATGGTGTTGTCCGTAATGCTGCACAAAGCTCGAATGGCAGCGGCCCTATAGAGATCCTCCTTGCCGGTCATGTCCTTCGTTAGCGAGCTGGTTACGATGATCACGTCCTCGGCAATGGAGCTCAGCTCTTTGATGCCCAGGTAGACCATACGGCGTAGCACCACATCCTTCGACTGGAAAAGCTTGGTCATCGCAAAGAAGCAATCGGTGGCCTCGCGGGGTACCAGCTGCTCGCCCTGGTTGATCAGGTAAAGGATCTTCGTCAGGATGTGGATGCACTTCCGCGCGTTCACCGGCGTCTCATTGAAGGTGCGCGTCTCCTGGAGCACCGAAGTTTTCTCCAGATTCTGGTACGCATTGCTTGGTCCTGCTGGCGGGTTACCGCGTTTATTTTTGTGTAAGACAATAGGAAAATAGTTCATTTTCTCAGTAAAATTAAGAAAACTCGATTTTTTGTTTATTCGGAGGGTTAGTGTGTGTGAGTGTGTATTAGGGTGTCTTTGCCAGCGGAGCACCTTCCAGCCACTAGGTTTTCTTCGATTAGCTTTGGTGTTTGGAGGAATGCTCGGTTCCAGGCGTTAAGTCGCTACTTACCGTCCTCCTCCTCGTCTTTGTCGCGGCGGAACGAACCCATTATTGCTGAACTCTCGGGTAAATAGATGGTTAAAGCAATTAAAATGGTTTTCTGGCTGCGCTTACACGTCACTCAGCGGTGCTGTTAGGGCTGGCCACACATCGATGGCAATATCGATAACACCATTGCTTCTTGATGACTTTGATTTGTATGTTGAGTGGATGTCCATTTGCACATATTTTTGCATTTTGGTGCCCAATTTTATTAATTGGCAATAGCTTTCTGGAAACATCTGTGATTATATTACATTATATTACATTATTTATTATAGACGTACTGGTTCCGGTTCTATAGAGCCTATCGATGGATCTATCGATTACCAGAGGGCGGTTAAAGCTCAAGAATTTTGAATTTCGCTGTATAATTTTATTCATTGTATTTTTAAAGAAAGATAAATATAATTTTATTATAATTTATAATATTTTATTGACTTAATAATATTTTAATTAAAGGAAATTTTAATGATGTTTTCGAAGAATGACTTCAACAGGGGGTATTTTTGGTCAGATAAACAGTAATAATGATTTGTCTTATTAATTTTAAAAGAATTTTTGAAACTTAAAATATCCGCAAATTCGAATAGGCCATAAATTGTAATTTAATTATGTTCTACCAAATTCCAAAATTCAATTACATTTTTGTTGCCTTTATCGCAAACTTAAATGGTTTATATAATTTTATTGGCAAAATCACAGTATATTTTCTAGGTTCTTATTTATTATCAAATAAGACAGCTAATTTTAGTTACTAATCTTATATTTTAAGCGGAAAGTATTGAAACTTAAGAATTCTTCAATGGAATTTATATATATATATAATATTCTGTTTAAGATATCTTACTTATTTCTAAATTATTAACCAAGTAAAGGAACAC